TAAGTACACAATACCCCGCCAATCAAACCACAATACATTAAAGCCCATGCCTACAGCACAGCCAACTTAACATGCATACTGTACTCTACCTACGTTCAAGCCTGAAAATAAATTTCCAACCGTGCCTGACAAAGTGTCAGGTACCAACTGATTGGTGCCTGACACTGGACATTTTCTGCCTGACAAAGTGATTAACGAAATAGAGCAAATATAGTTTTTCGTGGTCCTCGAAATAAAAGAAGCCAACCGATGAAAAGCTTAGTAACAACAATTAAGCCACTAGTCAATTATATCATACGGAATCGAACAATTTCGCAGCATTTTCACAGGCATATTGTCTTAATATTCGTACGCGATGAAATTTGGTCATACAGATAACTTTTAGATGCGGAATGCAAATATTTTGAAATATAATGAAATTTTTAATGCCAGTTGTAGACAATTTCACCAATAGTTGTATCTGCCGGACAAACTGTCCGGCAAAAAAGCAGTTGTGCCGGATAATTACCTTTTCGTACCGGACAATGTCCGTGACCGACCGCTTATTTTCAGGCTTGCCTACGTTGCCACAACGCCTACATTGTCTACACAGCCTACTTGGCCTACACAGCCTACTTGGCCTACACAGCCTACTCGGCCTACACCGCCTACTCGGCCTACACCGCCTACTCGGCCTACACGGCCTACTCGGCATACATGGCCTACACGGCCTACTCGGCCTACACCGCCTACACCTCCTACTCGGCCTACATTGTCTACACAGCCTACTTGGCCTACACAGCCTACTTGGCCTACACAGCCTACTCGGCCTACACCGCCTACTCGGCCTACACCCGGCCTACTCGGCATACATGGCCTACACGGCCTACTCGGCCTACACCGCCTACACCTCCTAACAAAAGCAGCAGAGCAGGTACAAATTCTAACAAACACACTAAATACCAACTTGAAATGATCACGTTTTGCCATTGGCTTCCCCAAACAAATAAAGTAATTCTAACCCTATGCCTGCCCTATAACGCTAACCCTAAAACACTAAACCCACACCATGTCCCTCACCCTAACCCAAACCCTAATCAAAACCATTTAACCAAAACGCAAACCCAAACCCTGACTGAAACCCAAACCCTGGCTCACACCCTAACCCACACCCTAACCCACACCCTAAACCACACCCTAACCCACAACCTAGTTTGTCAACTCATGGTCGCAGAAAACATCATTACCCTTCATATTTCGCAGAATTCATGTGGAGATATGTCCACAAAGATGAAGACTTATTTACAGTTTTCTTAGAAGACATTAAACATACGTACAACTTTCAGACTCACAAATGAGTATGAACTAAAATATTAACATTAAAGCCTCTTACAGACGAGCAAGTTTTCTATGACAAGTTTTTATGTGACATGTTTTATTTGCTCGTCTGTACACAGGCGGCCCAATCTCTGAACGTCCTATATATTTTGAATATTTAACCGTTATAATATTTTAAAATAACAAAATAATTAAAAAAATATTAACAATATATGTAAAAAATATATCTCACTTGTTAATAGAATCCATTTGTTGTGTTTCTGAGTTTAGTTGATGCGATTGCTTTACGTTTTCGTCGTACTTGAACGGTCGTCAGTACTGGCACTGAACGACATGGCCATACTAGGACATAAATAACTACAAGGCTAGCCACTTATCTGATATACTCTCCGACATCGAGTCCAATATCTAGCCTCAGAATCGTCGCAGAGCAATAAATTTCACATCGTCTAATAGCACGAACGTTCCTCTTTCGAAAGAACTTGGTTTCTTCACCATTGCGGCAATTCCCGCGACACACGACGAACTTTGTTTGTCAAAAGTCCAAATTTCCATTTTCGACAGGAGCGCTAACCCCATGATCGTCGCCACGAGAGCTGCTCAGCAACCTGGCCTCCTCGTTTGAAAACATTCCCAACCTCGTCCCCAGGGTCTTCCTCGTGGTGGCGCGTGAGCTGAGGAAGACCCTGGTAAAATACGATGAAATCTCCAAGATTCTTGGAGATTTATCGCATGAGCAGTAACGACAACGTTATGTTGCTGACTACAATTAGCGCTGGCGCTTACGATTTTCTTGCTTGAAAATATACATGTTTTGTTGATTGTTTATGTATTTATTCTCAAAGTTTTAACAATTTTTACGAGAAATACTTCAGATATAAGCTGTAAACACACATGTACAAAAAACTATGCAACATTCATCATCATATTGTATCAATTTGTCGGAGTATGGCGCTCATATTTGTGACATTATTTTGTTCGCTTTGGCAACCCTCGTATATATCAGATGCTGTTCGGCTTCAAATGCGACTGAATAAAAACTGATAGTGTTGCCTCGAATATGAAATGATATTGATTGATTGTTCTGTATATCAAGGTACGTACTGTACATTTATACTGAATTTATTCGATTTATTTTCACACGTTGCTTTCACATTTTCTCAGAGTCTCGGAAATCACATTTTCTATTAAACACAGTTGTTTCACACATACAGAAAGACTTCATTTCACATGACATACAGAAAGACTTCTTCAGAAATCACAGTTTTTAACATACAGAAAACTTCATATTATCTCATCAGTTAATCAAATTATGATAACAGTAGAAATGCTTAGAAATATTTTATTCTGTTTTGAAGTGTTTTCCATATACAGTACAACTGTTATTTCGATTTTCTCTTTCCTATATTTTCTTTAAAGCAGGTACTGTTCTGTTACAAAACAACTAATAAACATTTTATTATTTTAACAGGTGAACCATATTTTATATGAACTTGGGAAAAAACCAACTTGAATTCCATGGAAATATATATAATCATGTCATCACTGAATCAGATAGTAAACAATCACTAATTATTAAGATGGTCTCAAGATTATTTCACAGTAACCAACATGAAAATTTTTAAATGGGAATGAGTTGATGGCATTATAGTTTTCTAATGCTATATAATTTTGTTCATCAAGGTGAAGAAACTCACTATACCTTTCCCTGCTACAGAGCTATGAAGTAATCTTAGAAGATTTTTATGATCCCTCTATTCAGTAGTTCTTTAGCCAGTCTAGTATTATGATTGTATTATGTTAAATAGCCTTGTTTGACTTTTGTATTTGGTTTCTTTAATAATACATTTACAATGGTCAAAATTACAGTTTATTATTTGTATTTCTAATGATAATTACTTGCCCATATCCATCACACTTCTCTGTTACTATTAAACTTATTACTATCATGCAAGTAAAATCTCTTGGGAAAAATAAAATGTTGTCCCAGGATGGTGATAAATATCAGCTAGTAAAACTAATGAATATACCTATGATCATGTACATATGACTATCATATAATATGTTGTAATTCCTTTAAGTGTTTCAAATTAAATAAATTTCTATTTTCAGTTGTTCATTGTTCAAACTTATTTGAAACATACAGTGTGAAACTCGTGTGAAAATAAATCCAGTATATATGTACAGTACGTACCTTGATATACAGTACAATCAATCAATATCATTTCATATTCGAGGCAACACTTTCAGTGTTTATTCAGTCGCATTTGAAGCCGAACAGCATCTGATATATACGAGGGTTGCCAAAGCGAACAAAACAATGTCACAAATATGAGCGCCATACTCCGACAAATTGATACAATATGATGATGAATGTTGCATAGTTTTTTGTACATGTGTGTTTACAGCTTATATCTGAAGTATTTCTCGTAAAAATTGTTAAAACTTTGAGAATAGATACATAAACAATCAACAAAACATGTATATTTTCAAGCAAGAAAATCGTAAGCGCCAGCGCTAGTTGTAGTCAGCAACATAACGTTGTCGTTACTGCGCATGCGATAAATCTCCAAGAATCTTGGAGATTTCATCGTATTTTACCAGGGTCTTCCTCAGCTCACGCGCCACCACGAGGAAGACCCTGGGGACGAGGTTGAAACATTCCATCAGGGGGGGAGGAGCTGGACTGGAATGAGGGGGCTTTCAAAGCAACACGATAAAACACACGATATAAATAGAAATTATTACTTTATCATGCTGTATTCGACAATAAACAAGCATTAAACATTTATATCGTGTGTTTTATCGTGTTGCTTTGAAAGCCCCCTCATTCCAGTCCAGCTCCTCCCCCCCTGATGGAATGTTTTCAAACGAGGAGGCCAGGTTGCTGAGCAGCTCTCGTGGCGACGATCATGGGGTTAGCGCGTCTGTCGAAAATGGAAATTTGGACTTTTGACAAACAAAGTTCGTCGTGTGTCGCGGGAATTGCCGCAATGGTGAAGAAACCAAGTTCTTTCGAAAGAGGAACGTTCGTGCTATTAGACAATGTGAAATTTATTGCTCTGCGACGATTTTGAGGCGAGATATTGGACTCGATGTCGGAGAGTATATCAGATAAGTGGCTAGCCTTGTAGTTATTTATGTCCTAGTATGGCCATGTCGTTCAGTGCCAGTACTGACGACCGTTCAAGTACGACGAAAACGTAAAGCAATCGCATCAACTAAACTCAGAAACACAACAAATGGATTCTATTAACAAGTGAGATATATTTTTTACATATATTGTTAATATTTTTTTAATTATTTTGTTATTTTAAAATATTATAACGGTTAAATATTCAAAATATATAGGACGTTCAGAGATTGGGCCGCCTGTTGTCTGTACGCGCAGCTTTGACAATTTTTTCTATGACAAGTGCACTTGCTCAAAGGTAGCATGCTACCTTTTGAAAAAGTGCACTTGTCATACAAAAACTGGTCAAAGTACAAATTTGGCTCGTCTGTATGGGTCAACAAAGAAAACTTGTCAAAGTAATCTGAGCATTTGATGCGATTGGCCTGCGGATTGTCAAAGTAAACTTGTCAAAGTAAACTTGTTGACACGTTCACACCGGTAAAGTAAAACTTGTCATATGAAAACTTGTCATATAAAATTTGTTGCATATACACACGTGCACTTGGGCTCGTCTGTATGGGTCAACAAAGAAAACTTGTCAAAGTAATCTGAGCATTTGATGCGATTGGCCTGCGGATTGTCAAAGTAAACTTGTCAAAGTAAACTTGTTGACACGTTCACACCGGTAAAGTAAAACTTGTCATATGAAAACTTGTCATATAAAATTTGTTGCATATACACACGTGCACTTGGCAAATAAAACTTGTCATATGAAAACTTGTCATAGAAAACTTGCTCGTCTGTAACCGGCTTAAATTGTATGAAATACAGTCAACTCGTTCTTCGAAATTATTTTGCACCTATAAAACATTTCTTTCGCACATACATGAATATTTTCGGATGTGAAAACCTTTTTACTCGAGACCCAACTGATAAATAAATATCTCGCTCAGTCTACGCTTGTAGGCTGTCAACATGTCCATTTTTAGAGGCTAATTTTTTGTGGCGGGTTATTCTGTGGTTGTATCTCGCGCAGTGTAGGCTTGTAGGCTGTCAACATGATCATTTTTAGTGGCGGGGTATTCTGTAGTTGTACCGAAATTTTATATCTTCGGATCAGTACATGCTATGCCTATGAAGACAGAAATACCACCATTCCATTCAGAAATAAAAGATCAACTAATTCCGAACGATAGTTATAGTCATTATTAACATTGTAGCTATTTATGGGAGTTTGAAAGTCAAATGCGATCGTATACTATCAAATTACTTCGAGCCTCGAGCTCACAGCCGGACAAGAAATGGAAATACCGTGATAAAAGATGCAAATTTGAAGATACAGGCTTGCAAATAACACTCTAAATAGTGTTTTTGATGGGGATTCGAACAAGACTATTACAAAGACGATATGTTTGAAGGGGTCGAAGTTATTTTCGGCGAAAGGTATGGCTAGTCTATATTTTTGTTCAAACAATCGCGTGAGCTATCCCAACCGGAAATACGACTAAAAAAACGTCAAAACAATGCGACGTTTGCATCGTATGACCTTGCAAATGGCCTCAGACCTCTCAACTCTCACGCATTCGGCGTGAGTCTCACGCAATTTTTTTTTTTTTTTCGAATTCAGTATACTTTATTCATTTCTCATAACACATTTACATCAAATTAATTGATACTGGAAGGACCAGATAAACCCTTGTGGGCTTTTACAAGTCAGTCCTCCTACAATAAAATTAGCTAAAATACAGTTGATTTGGTATCATTGATAAGATTATATTCATATAGTAATTTTGATTTAATGATTTAACTAGCAATATATATATATTTACATAAATACTTCACTTATATATAGATATGTATGAATGCATATGCAATCATGTATACACATTGCATGCACATCTATGACAATAGATAATCTTTCATATCTTTTTTAAACTTAATTTTTGTTCTCGCTTCTTTTATATCAGATGGAATTTTGTTCCATAAACTACTTCCTTTAATCTTAATCGTGAATTTTCCATAATTAGTTCGGTATCTTTCCTTATGTATATAATGTGAGTTTCTCGTTCTGTAATTGTGTACGTTTTTGTTAAGAGTAAAGAAATTTTTAAAATATTCAGGCAAGGAATTATTATAAAATTCAAACATAAATTGTCCAATGCATAAATCGTTGATCTGATGAAGGTTTAGCAATTTCAATTTTTTAAACAATGGGGCAGAGTTTGCATCATACGAAGAATGTGTGATTATTCTAATTACTTTTTTTGGAGTTTACATACTTTATCTAATCTTGTTGGATAATTATTTGCCCATACAATATTTCCATAATATAGGTATGGATAAATTAATGTATTATATAAAGTTCTTAGTATGTTGGAATTTAAGAAATAACGCGCTTTGCAAATTATTCCTATTGACTTTGATATTTTATTTGCAATGTAGTTAATGTGTTGATTCCAATTTAAATGTTCGTCTATGATTACTCCTAAAAATTTTGTTTCCTTAACTTGAGTTAACTGACAATTATTAAGAAATATTTTAAATGGGTTTAATATTTTTTTCTTTGTCGATTTAAAAACTATATAATTTGTTTTTTTTATATTCAACGTAAGCTGATTGTCAATTAACCATTGACTTATTTTCTGCATTTCTGCATTGATTGTTTTATTTAATTGCTCAACATTTTCACCAGAGTAGAATAGATTAGTGTCATCTGCAAATATTATAAATGATGTAAGCTGACTGCTAAAATTGATGTCGTTTATGTATATTAAGAAAAGTAGTGGACCCAATACTGATCCCTGTGGTACACCACAGGAAACCAGCTTTGCATCCGATATTGTATCATTGTATTTGACGTGTTGCATACGACCAGATAAATAGCTTTCAAACCATTTATATACTACTCCTCTTATTCCATAGTGTTCTAGTTTTTTAAGTAAAATTTGATGGTTAACTGTATCGAATGCTTTTGACAGATCGAGGAATATTCCAATTGTTATTTTATTATTATCAATTTCTTGTTTAATTTTTTCTGTCAATTCAATTATTGCAAGTGTTGTTGATCGTTTTTTTCTAAAACCATATTGTTTTTCAAAGAAAATGTTATTTTTCTCAATATATTGTATTATTCGAGTGTACATAACTTTTTCTAGTATTTTGGAAAAACAGCTAATCACTGAAATCGGCCTATAATTACAAACATTGTCTTTCTTTTCACTTTTGTGTATTGGTGTAACCTGTGATACCTTCAGCTGATCAGGGATTATTCCTGTTGTGAATGTTAAATTGAAAATATGACACAATACACTGCTAATGCATGTTCCCATATCTTTAATCACTTTAGGATGAATTCCGTCATAGCCAGGGCTTTTTTGGGGACATAGCTCTCTTATGATTTTATCGAGTTCACTCGTTTTTATTCTAGTGAGAAACAATGATTTTGGATAGTTTGATTTTAAATATTTGGTATAATTTCTAGTGTTGTTTTTGTTGAATTTTTTTGCTAAATTTTGTCCAATACCTGAAAAGAAATTATTAAATTCCTTTGCTATTTCATCTTCATTTGAAATAGTTGTGTTCTCTTTTTTGAATGATTCAGGATACGAAGATTTACATTTATTTTTGCTTAATAAATCTTTAATTACATCCCATGTTTGTTTTATGTTGCTTTTGCAGTTTTCTATTTGTTCGCTATAATATTTTTTCTTCGCAATACGTATTATATGGATTAACTTATTTTTATATGATTTATACTTCATGCAATTTACCGTAGTCGGTTGTTTTAAAAACTTCCTATATAATTTTTCCTTCGTGTGTGAGGATTTTTTAATCCCCTCTGTAATCCATGGATTAATTTTCCTATATTTCTGTTTTATTTTAATAGTTTTTATTGGGAAATGTTTATTGTACTTTTCTTGAAATATATTAATAAATGTGTTAAATGATGATTGCGGATTATTATCACCTGTGACCTTGCTCCAAGTTTGATCTCTTAGCTCTTTTTGAAATTTAGCAATTCTATCCTTATTAATCATTCTGACTTTTTTCGTCTTAATGTTTTTATTATTTGTTATTGACCGTGTTTCTATTAGAAAAATGGGCAGGTGATCCGAAATGTCGTTAAAGAGTATCCCATTTGTTTGAATGTTATTTTCTGTATTTGTGAAAATGTTATCAATTAGTGTTGCTGTCGTGTTTGTTATGCGGGTAGGTTTTTTTATTGTCGGAATTAGCGATGACGAAAACATCTGATTTACAAATCTATTTGAGTAGTCACAATTGCCATATTTAAGCAAGTCGATGTTAAAATCTCCCATAATATAGCATTCTTTATGTTCTGCCGTGATTTTGCTAAGCATAGCCTTAAGTTTATTTTCATAATCATTATATCTATCATTTGGAGGTCTATAAATGACCCCCACAATTTTATTTTTACCTTTAATGTTTTCAATTTCTATAAAAATACTTTCAATATTTTCACTTAAATGTTCCTTATTTATGTCATCTCTTATTTTAATTTTTAGACATTCTTTAATATAAATGCAAACTCCACCTCCAATTTTCGCTTTGCGATTGAATTCGTAAATCTTATAGCCTGGTATATTAAAATCAGAGACGTTACATGATTCATCTAGCCATGTTTCAGCAATAGCTATTACGTCAAATGAGAAATTCAGTAAGTTTAGGTAATTTGTCAATTTTTCGAATTTATTACGTAAACTTCGAATGTTTAGACTTAAAACTGAAAATGAGTTTTCCTTTACTATATTACTTGTTTTAATCAGATCAATAAAATCATTAGTTAAATAGTATTTAGATTCATTATTCTTATTGTCATTGCGGTAATACATATCTGGGTTCAATCTGTCTGTAAATTCATTATGCAAAGTAGTTCTTGAGTTGTTCATATTAAAGGGATTAAATACTAAATTTTCTAGTCTGTCTTTATCCTTTTCTGTTAAATTGGTTGCTAGATTATTAACTGCGTCATTAAAATCTTGAGTATTTAGGTGATTAAAAGGAATTTCTCGAATGCACGTTGCGCAAATAGAGTTGTTTCCGGCTCTATAATTCTTCAAATTATTTTTATCAATACCTAGACAATGCGACTTGATATGATAATTCTTACTACACATCGAACATTCGAAATAATTATCTTTTATGATAATGCGACTACATGTGTCACAATTTTTCTGTACTTTCATTGCATTCATAGCCATTTGCATAATCTTATTTCTGCATGCTTATTTAATAATCACGATTATAATCATAAAGTTTATACCTATAAAACTATACTTATCTTCCGTAAATTTGTCCATTGATAAACAGTTTATCTTTGACTAAAAATGCCTTATGTCCCTTAGATCTTGCATCCTTGAACACCGGGTAGAGCTTCTTTCTTTCTTCTTGGATCTCTTTGGGAAATTGGTCACTGATTCCGACACCGATATCTTTAAACTTGTATGCATTCCGCTTAATCATCTCTTTGTCTTGGAATCTCAAGAATTTTACAACAATTGGTCTCGGTTTCGTTCCATTTCTATTTCTGCCAAGCCGATGAGCCCGTTCAATCTCAATTTTTTCTGTTTCACTATTAAGTTCCTTGTCCCTCAATAGACTTTTAATTTTGTTTTCAACCTCTTCCTTCTCATTTGGTGTATTTTCTTCTCTAATATTGTAAAATATCAGATTACTTCTCATGGAATGCGCTCTCATATCAATAATTTCCCTTGCCAATTTTGCCTTCTCTTCTTCGATCCTTCCGACCTTTTCCTCTATTACTTTTAATTTACTGTCTTGTACTGCTTGTACAGATTGTACAGATTGTACTTCGGCCACCACCTCCTGTTGATAAGTCAGCGAGTGTTTTAGATCCTTGATGTCCGTGTCAATGCTGTTGAGTCGTGTCTCGATTAGGTCAAGCTTATCGAGTTTATTCAATTTTTCACTCATTTCACCGATTATTTTCACAATTTCACTTTCGTTTAGGTTTTCCATCTTCTGTTGTTTACTTTTTGGTTTAATTGGAGTACTAGTTAAAGAATTATTTAACTCTTTCACGGAGCGTTTTTGTTTTGATCCCATCACTGATACCTGATAATAATATAATAATAATCTAAAAAATATAATCTAAAATTACTGCTACGTTTTCCAGTATGTCTTTTCATTCTGCTCAGTCGTGGCTTCATAACTGCACGCTTGTGCTAAAAAAACTTCACATGTTTTTGTTTTTATGGTTCGCGATTTTCTACTATCGTTATAATTAGTCGTTCACATTCTTAAGAAGCTTTAGACTATTGTGATTGTGTTCACAACAATAGAGAAACTGACAATGTCTTTCTTGTCGTTTGTGTTTGCTGATATATTTGCTGAATATTAATGATATGTATATATGATTTGCTACGAATACAGTCAAGAATCGCTTGTATCTTCTAAAGTCAAAAATGAAAAATCGAACACCGTCAATCGATGCGGAATATTGCTTAGAATAATTATGTAAAGTTTCATTCCGATCGGACAAGTAATGACGGAGCCTTAGGGTTTTTTCAAAGAGCGTCGCCCCCTAACAACAACAAGAACAACAACAACAACAACAACAACAACAACAACGACAACAGCAGCAACGACAACGACAACGACAACAACAAGATTAGCAGCGATTGGGGACCAGTTCCTGGTCCAAAAATACCACATTTGGAATAAACTAAAATTCAGGATGGACATGGTCTTAAATCAGGCTAACAATTTTATTATTAAGGTTTGACTTCCTCGTGTCTCAAAGTTTTGAAATTGGCAGATGTTAGTATTATGAAATTTCACTCTTTTCATATTTATACCTTTCCACCTTGCGTATTTATAGGTACGTCCAGCGAGCACCAGGAAGGTCAAGATGACTCGAAGCTGCGGATTATTCCATGTCTTCCTGCTGTTGCCGCAAGTTTACCAGAGAAATGCGAAGGAGGAGGATGCTATGTGTTCGTCCGGTATCTGATTGATTGGTTTCTCTTCATTGTCTCGTTTCCATTCCTATGCATGTTCACTTGGACAATACCTAACTGCTCTGAAGCGCACAACAGAAAGTACTTTCTCGCCTCGTTCTTTGCCTCAATTCTATGGATTGCCATCCTCAGCTTTGGCATGGTCACACTCGTTGGTCGAGTGGGATGTATCTTGAACATTGATAAGTTTACTATGGGTTTGGTAGTTGTAGCAATTGGAACCAGCATTCCGGTAAGTCATCTGTATTGCTAATTCGTTATCGCGATAAAGGTTTAATTGAAAAAACTCTTAAAGTTATATACAAAACTCATTTACCGATTTTTCGTGATGTATCTTACTTAGTTCTCGAGATATTATCATTGAAAACGATGTGCTGCCGGCCACCATATCTTGGATATTAGGTCAAATCAGGGTTAGCCGCATAAAACTACTCCTGAGTAACAGTGGTGTAGTCTTAAAATGGAAGGCTTTGAGATATGACTGGCGCCGGAAATATTTTATTCCTGGTCCCTGAAACACAATTTCCAGGGGTTAGTTGTACGAAGGCTGGATAGCTCTATACAGGGGCGGGCACGTGCCCCTCCCCCCATTTTTTCAAAGGACCAAAATTGCCCTTTTTGTACAATCTAATGTCACTGTAAAATTTAATACCTCGAAGGTGCCCTCTTTGTTTGGAAATTTCGATGTTTTTAAAAACATTTGGTCAAAAACGTTCATTGCATGTGGCAATTCGGTATGGTATGACTAGACAATTTATCTCCCCCCTCCCCAACATTTCCGGGAAAAAATTTAAGGTGCTCTTTTCATTATCCAAAAGTGCCCCTAGATTAAGCCAGTGCCCTCCCCCCAATCCGGCTTTTGATGCTTCCTACGCCCCTGGAAAAGTGATAAAACGACGAATAAGGAGCCCACGATTAATAAAACTTTAACTCTTTTACACTAAAGTTTAATTTGAGTTATACCAATCGATAGCCGATTTAAGAAAGTTTTGCGGCGAAATAATTTATAATGCCGCGTGTGGTATTATAAATATTTCGCCAAACACAAGTGTGATTTTTCATTAATACTGCGGAACAAGTGTAATTTCCTATTAAAATCATTTTATAGTCAATTTTACACGAGAAATCAATGAGAAGAAACAATGTTTCAAGCGAGCACAGCCATTTGAAAGTAATCTCTGATAATTTTCAATTCATACCTGTGAAAAACTGATCCTTATTTCTTCTTTTTTCATTATTTAAACATACTTAATTTAAAGAACTCATTGCCTATCTTATCATTGCAAAATAAGACTATAAGAGCTCAGAAAATACAAATACTCACGTTGTTTATTTCAGATTTTGTGTTTAATGCACGCAGGGCTCGTATTCATGCCGATTAATCTTGAATCGGCACACTGTGCCGATTGCTATGTTTCATTGACACGGTTTTTAACCAATCAGAATTAATCAATTAATTAAAATGATATTATAATAATAATTCGCCCAAAGAATTCTATACTTTGCCGTTCGTCTTTGGGATCAAATGTTAAGCTTCAACTGCTTAATGACAGAACTGCTCTAATCTAGATACTATACATGACAAAAGCACTTAAAAAATACGATAATGAAAATTCTATTTCTAGGATGCACTAAGTTCCATCATAGTTGCACGTGATGGTTATGGTGATATGGCCGTTTCGAACGCCATTGGTTCGAATGTATTTGACATCGACCTGGGTATTGGTCTACCGTTTGTAATCAAATCTCTTATTGATGACCTCAACCCTATTCGACTTCTCAGTGAGACAGACCAGGTAAATTCATAGATCATAACTTGGATAGCCTGCGAACTACGAAAAGAATATATCACGTCCGACCGCGGGCATTACAGTGAAGTACGTCGACAATAATCGACATACTCATGTAGATAATTATTCTGAAGCTTAGTTACTTTTGTTCTATTCTATTCTGACTAGTACAATATTAACTAGGCATTTGAATGATCTAAAGTTGTTAACTGGGTAAAAACCATTGTAAAAACAAACTTTAGCCTATCGCGTCAAATTTGTATATACAGGGTGTCTCAAAAAAACCCAAAATCATTGAAATTGACGTATTGTTCGATATTCAATGCCCTAGCACTAAGTTAATCCCACGAGTGCATAAAAGATTGACATAACTGCTATAATGAATGGTAATACTCAGCGTAAACTTGTTATGTCAGGCATAAAGTACTAAACCGTTTTAAATTCCCATGAGCAAACAAACTTTTAATTTAATTTTAATTTAATGAATTTGTCACAATTACAACAAAGGACAATTACATATTTACAGAAACAATGACAGGAGAAGGTAACAGGAGAATTTCCCAATTGACAACCACAAAAGATATTTTAATTTTTTAAAACAAATTAATCACCCTGTCAAAATCCTTTGTGTTACGGCATTGAAATTCGAACAATACGTTATTTCAATGATTTTGGGTTTTTTTGAGACACCCTGTACATACAGGGTGTCTCAAAAAAAAACAAAATCATTGAAATAACGTATTGTTCGAATTTCAATGCCGTAACACAAAGGATTTTGGCAGGGTGATTAATTTGTTTTAAAAAATTAAAATATCTTTGTAAAGTGAACGTTTGTTTGCTCATGGGAATTTAAAAATGCTTCGTAAATTGTAATATGCGTAATATGCATTCGTGGGTTTAGTTCTTTATGCCTGACATAACAAGTTTACGCTGAGTATTACCATTCATTATAGCAGTTATGTCAATCTTTTATGCACTCGTGGGATTAACTTAGTGCTAGGGCATTGAATATCGAACAATACGTCAATTTCAATGATTTTGGGTTTTTTTGAGACACCCTGTATATAGAGCTGAATATAATTTGTTTGACAATATATTTAATCGTGAAACCTTTCTGTCTAGGCAATGTATGACAATGACGAGATGGCAATTATTCCCCACGTGAAATTTGGTTTTATACTTCTATTGATCTTGTTTATATGCATCGGCGTATTTGCCTTAGTCAAGTTCCGTTTGGGTCGAACCATTGGCTCATCATTCTTCCTCATGTACATTCTATTTGTATCATACGCCTATATACAGGACCTGCTGTGCGAGCACGATTGCTAGCACCCTGCAATCATATATTTAAATGGATTAAAAATCTTGTAGCAAACATTTTATCTAGAATCTGTACATATAAAACGAATATATTTTTATGAATAAAGATCATCTTAAAATGCATTGAACATGTGTATTTTTAAAAATAGTCGAACTTCTATTACACAGGTAAAAATCTCCAACTTGTCAACAAAATATGTTGGCAACAAGCTTGTGAACAAATTGTAACAATGCTGTTATTTTATCAAGTTGCTACACTGAGGTTGTCACTCACAACTTGTTGACAAATTGCTGAATTGCAGGACGATAAAAAGTTGTTGGAATAACTTGTAACAAGTATGTTGGGCTCAACAACCTTGTAGCCAGTTGTCAACAAGCGGACGTCAAAGACGACGTGAAAATGACGTGTTGTGCCCATGTATATCCATGCCACGCCATTTTGACGCCATTTTCACGTCGTCTTTGACGTCCGCGTCCTCGATCTAAATCTGTCTATTGACAACTTGTCAACAAGCCGGGAACAAGCAGTGCGAACACATCCTGTTGATAAGTTGTAACAGTTACAACTTACGAGTTTTTACGTGTCTACTAGGCTGCCACGCGTCAAAGTTCCAAAATATTCCGCTGGTCTGCAGCATAGCATAGTGTTGAGCATAGTCTTCGTGGTTGGTGAGAGTGTAGCAGTGTACCATTTTGTCACTTTTATTCAATTAAGCCCGCCGCACACGAGCGCATTTGTCGCGCGTACTTGTTATTCGTGACAAGTTGGATCGACAAAATTTCCTAGTGTGCGGGCAACATTTACGGCATTTTCGTCATTCGTAACAGGTTTACATGCCAGACTAGTCCCAAGTCCTCTGTGCACGCTTTTGAGAAACGCGAAATAGGCGTACTAAGAGGCCTAGGGACTGGGCTGGAAGAGCGCGCTCACCGTCAACATGCATGAACATTTATTCTTGAAAACCGCCTTAAAATGTACAAAAAAGCTGTTTAACAGCGTTCAAAGCCTTCAAGTAAAACCTCCTAGTAGACTTTACTTTTAGTTTTTTCTTATTTTTTATCTAACATTCAAAAATCATTAATAATTCATGAGGAAAACACAAAGAAAAATCATAACTCATAAGCGTGACGTATCTTTATATGTGATAGAGGTTTCCCATGATTTACATAAACTTTAACTTTGATTTTCTCGACTTGCACAACGTATTTTTTGAAAATTACTTCGCCAATGAACACTTACTAGATCGATCGTTTTTGAAGCAATTTAAGACATTCGCAGTGCGTGTTTTATCAGATATAAAGATACGAGGCGAAGTCGAATTAGATGCCACCAAAAAATAGCGGATATATTCGTCATCGTGACAAAGGCTAATTGAAGTGACATTTTTTATAAGAATTTTTACCAATTTCCACACCCTGTACCATTATATGTACAGAAAATCCCGTTTTGAAATAACAAAACATAACGTACGTATACGTTTGAGCTTGTCGACTGAAATCATCTTCGTAATGGTAGTTTAGGTTAAAGAAACTTGACTTAGGTTTGTAAAGTCTAAGCCTAAGGCCTTCCTATAAAGTATTTTTTAATATATATAAATTAGAAATAAAATACTTATATATAATTAGGCCGCAATGACACCAAAAACGTTATATAAACAGTCACAAAGATACAGCTAGATGAGGTCTTCGTTTATTTATATTCCAAATCGAACGATATACCGCTTGCGTTATACACTTGAAAATGCACAGGAGAGAGAAATAGAAAACAGACATCACAACCTTATAGATAGCCGGAAATCGGGAGGTTGACAAATTCATTCTTTTTCAAAACTATTTAATTGCCTGAAACGCGTTCGGCAATAAGACTTTAATTAGTTAAAATGTTGTTGGAATTTTGTTACGAATAATTTTGTTAATAAAAGTTTTAAAAGGTGATTCCTTCATTTATTTTATTCATTGGTATAGTGTTTTAATTACTACCAGTAAAGGGGGCACACATCCATTTTTGAAGAAAAAAGTTTTCATTTTTAATGATAGGCCAATCTTTCTGAAATCTGCATGGGGACAAGTCTGGAAATCGGAGCCTCCCCTTAAGGCCCGGTCACACTACACAACGATAACGATAACTTGTAAGTTGTAAACACGCAATAATTGGCAAAAAATTGTGTTAATGTCCACACTATAACGAAAATGATAAAATTATCGTTTGACGATAACGATTTTAAAATCGCTCACCCAGCGATTTTTTTCAGTCGGCGATAACGATAAATTTTTGACCAATCAGCGCGCGTATACAAGTTATCGTATCGTTATCGTTGTGTAGTGTGACCCGGGCTTTAGTGTAAGGGGAACTGGTATTTCAGATTATGCCTGCCAAATGCTCTTGATAAACATTAAATTTCAGTCTGTGACGGTCATCCGTAGATGCAAACAAAGGTCGTTAAAACAAAGGTCGTCTTTACACTGCCAATTTAAAAAAAAATCTTAAGGAACTAATGAGGATGATGCATGCATGCATTGTTTAGGATAACTCAATGAAAACCAACAGTGCCCCTAGTAAAAATGATCAGATCAATTATATAAAATTGCAAATATTTTACACAATTCACAAAAAAATCTATTGAGTATATCCATTTTTGGCAGACAAATGAATATATTTGTTAAATAGTTTACTATTAGCAGAATTATTAACATTAATTTACTTGTATCAATTTAACAAGAGCCCACCAAGTCGGTCTCTATGACTATGGCTCTAACATTGACCACGTGGCTAATGACTTGTGCATGGCCAGTTTATGTCCTATTATCTATATGCATGGTTATTGAATTACATGCAGACCGCGATGAATATACGCGGCACTGGTCTGACCAGACCAAAGCGAATCCTTCGTAGAACTTGAAACAATGTTCATTTTTGACATTCAGTCACAACTTTTCCTGGATAAGCTTTTCTCTTCAGCTTATGACCATTGCATGAGTGATAAAAACAAGTTCTCTTTTTGGCCAACAAAGGCATGCAAAGTAATGTTTGTTCTGATTCCATGCACGTCAAGTGTTTGACAACTTTTTCTCTCGCATTGACTGCAGTTTCTTCATCCACCTGTCATTCTTTACGTCTTCCTGTTCGTGCAACTGTTCGTAGAGAGAAAAAAGGTTGTTTATAGTTTTTCGAGTTATTGAAGACATAACCATTAATTTCCGAATATAACAAACAAGCCATTCGGCCATGCAGTATAGTGTACGTTCAAATTATGAAGATAATGATCTGCAATTACTTGTTTTCACAGTATACAGAACATATAAATTTGTACGTATAATTCGTAAACTAACATAATATACACAGTACATTTTTGTATTATTTGCATGCATGTGTATAGCGTAAATACATTTTTACAAATATATAAAGTTGATTCTAAAACAAAGTGAGAAACGTTTGGGGTTAAAGACTTTGCAAAGGCAAGTCCTTCACTGTGAAATGAATTTGCTATTGACGTTGGGCGTGCGCAGTGGGCGCAGCACAAGTTTGTTCAGTGACGCCAACGTCTACACGAGACGAGTGTTGTTTGTTCTGTTCTGATCTCATGTAAGCAGGGCCTGCATGCATCATCACGAGTTGAACAATGTAAACAAACTTGCTCTAGGCTTCTAGCACACTCACCAGCGATGCCATGACGCCGCTTTCCTTTTCCGATAATACATGAACGTTATTAGATTTTACATTAGTAATGGTGCTTGATATATGACTACCACTTGTTCCAAACATCGCATCTTCATGACTTTTCTCGTGAGAATTATGTGCAGATTCACCATTTTCACTCTATATAAAATAAAATACTATACAGTACAGTACCAGCACATGGGTACAGCCAGGGAGCTTATACATAGGGCGGTGCAACGCGCTGATCGATGTGTGATGCGGAAAAGGACTGGCACAAGCGTGCTTTTCGGCAAAAGTTGACAAGGAGCCAGGGCTCTCATTTATAAGGAAATTTCCTTAAACTGAGGAAATTTTGACCTTTTTAAATTAAGGAGACTTTTAAGGAAATAGAATTTTTAAGGAATTTTGAGTTGAAAAACACTCCAAACAATAATTAGTTATTACACTGTTTGTTATACTTATAAGTTATATCCATCGACCTAATGAAAGTTTTGGGCAGTAGTTTTTACTGCAATCGCTGATCATCTTCAATTTTATTGTTCATATTTAGTTCTTTTAATTAACGCCCGTGGAGGTTCAATCTGAGCTTCTCTTGAGTGTCATTGCTGTGTTTGAATAGCTGGGGGGTGAGTGTCGTACCTTACTATGTGACCACTCACCCTCCAGCTATTCAAAAACAGCATTGACACTCAAGAAAAGCTCAGATTGAACCTCCACTCAGTGAGTGTGACTGTGAGTGAGCGTTTAGAATACGGGCGTATGTTTCTGAGTGATTTGAAGCGCAGTTTTCGAACTCGAAACTTTTTTGCAGCAAACTTTGCATGATGGTTCGTCGTTCGCGTTTTTTGGTGCAACAAGCCAATGTTTAAAAGTAGGATATTTGTCCATCCCGCTCAAAACTTTTTTTTATACTTTTTTTTTCAATTTTAGTCTTTTGGAGCGCTTCCCTTGGATTCAAAATCAGAAAATTCAGAATCCGCCTTTTTCCGATGTAAAAAAGTTATATTTACATATTTTCGCGCCAATTGCGCCTATATATCGCGTGCCACTGGAGTGTTCCTCAGAGACTAGGCCAAGTCTAAGGAAATTTTTGTCGATTTAAGGAATTTTTACCGCTGAGTCTAAGGAAAATTTGGAATTCCGTTCTGAGAGCCCTGCAAGGAGCATAGGCAGGCCAATGTTATGGTTGCCTGTGCACGGGCGAGACATAAGTATAGTTGTATTATTTCCTAAGGTACATAGGGAAATGCAATCAAACTACCGACACATATACCTTCAAACAATCCAAAATACTTCAAATATCTTTACAACTACGATAAAATAATAACGGAAATAAATTTTCTACGATACTTTTACTATATACTAACAATATTTTAACGTACAAAACAAATTTGTAATGCGAGAAAAATACGAAATGTTTTTGCAATTTTGTTCAATTCTTGAATGGGATGCTGCTGGACCCACGCTCGACGTTTTTGATGGAGTTTCAAATGACGAATTCCCAATCTCATTGGCTGTCATTTTGACGGTTTTAATTAAAACGTCGAAAAACCGTCTAAATGACAGCCAATGAGATAAGGTATACTTTATATGTTCACCGATAGTGCAACTACAAACGGGTGGAGGCGATTTAATATAAGCTACATATAGCAATATGTTTCGCTTATTTGTGATTATTTTCGTTAATTTTAGAATTTCACTGCAGTTTTAATTTAAATTCAGTCGCCTAGTGGGCTACCTATGATGTTGACTGCAATAGTCGAAAAAGTTTCGTGTCAACTTTGAAATATTTTGACAAGCTGGCGCCAAGATAACATTAACTATGCTCCTCGTAAGGATTAATACAGTACCTGGAAATACAATAGCAGAATCTACTAAGTGTAACATCGGAATTTTACCCCCAATATCTGTCTTCATCAAAATGTGACTACAAAACAGTCAAAACTTCCAGCCCAGTTTTCCCGCCATATTTATCTTGCCATAAGACACGTCGCCATAGTAACAACAGGACGCAACAACGACAGTTCATTGCATCACACATCGATCAGCGCCCCCTATTGCCGTTTCACCGCCCTATATATAAGCACCCTGGGTATAGTATAAAAGGTCACTGACGAAAACTACCACAAGTAAGAAAACTTGTCGGGCTTAGAAAGAGGCAAGTAGTATATGTATAGTATTTCACCTGAAAAAAGATTAAAAGCACTTCGAGATTTCTAGCGAAGCACTTCGTCAGGGGATTAGTAGCAATAGAGATGTTAATATTCACGTTTAAGGCCAGGGACGTCGTGAAGACATCAACATTGGGAGGGGTGTCGTCATCTTTTGACCAACTTTTCCTAGAATTTTGACCAAGTAGTAGAAATGTATCCCGAAAATGTTGTCGACGGCGGGGGGTTGTCATAAGATTTTCCGGACTAACATAAGCAAAGCTTCAAATATTTTTCGACCAAAATAAGCAAGGCTTGCAATTGTTTCCGCGCAAACGCATGACCAAAGCTTAGAAACTGTTAAAATTGCTAACGATTTCATAACTTTGACCATCTTTTATTTCAAACTTTGACCAAATTTTACCAACCAAAACCTTCAAATTTAAGCAAATATTAGTTCCATTTTGACCAACTTTGACCGTTTTGAATTATTGGGGGTGTGATACCCCCCCCCCCCCCCTTGTAGCGACGTCCCTGTTTAAGGCTGACTGGTAACCGCAAATGGGAAACTTCAAATCGCATTTGAAGGTAAGTTCTACAAGTTTCCGAAGGTTTCGACAGGTTTTTAGCCAATTCATTCTTCAATTTTAATGCACAAATTGTCCTAACTTCGAGCAGCTTACATGCAGTTGATCTCGAAATACGTCTTGAAGTCAGCGGTTACTGGTCTACCGCAAACGTCAATCTTAACCTCTCTATAGGCCTAATTCCACGACGAGCGAAACGCGAAAGATGTCGCGCGAAAAGGTTGAACGCATGCGCAACACGATTTTGGAATGTTTCTCTGCGAAATATTTCTCTTTGCCGGGTAGTTGAATTCGTTTCTACTCCGTAGCGAAATGGAAATAGCGAAGCCAATCAAATGCTTATGTTTTGGAATAGCGAAACGAATCAACCGATTTTTTCTTTACTGTGGAAATCACTACGAGAGAAATTTTTCGCACAAGTGTGTTTTCGCGCGAAATTTTTCGCATTTCGCTCGTCGTGGAATTAGGCCTTAATGGCGCAATTTGTCTCCCTGGCGTATTTATCGAATTATTTATCATTCTATCATTACCACAAAAAAATGAAACGAATATTTCCACACAGAAACAGTGTTTTGTCATTTTGCAAACAACCGAGACACCTACTTTGCTTGAATTATGCGATACAAATGCTTCGGGGACAAAACCACCACTTTCTATTTTGGCCAAAGCATCAGCACTTGGAATATAGGAAGATGAGTCTTGAGTACCTTTACAATATTAGTGTAAATGGTATAAGAGTGCATTACTGAACATAAAATAAAGAATTTTTTTGTGAAGATAGAAATTTACACTGCGAAGGTCTCGAAACCCACAACGGTTGTACGTTCCTCAGATTGTTATAAACATCCGTAGTTAATTTACAACTACAAATAAAGATGTTATATAGGTTTAGTATTTTTGCACAAGTGAACATAACAAATCCTACAAGGTGATTGGTCAAATTTGACGTATTAATCTGTTATATTCACCTACAGGTGAACATAACAAAATCGAAATTTTCAAAATGGCGGCTAGCCGTTTTGTTGAAGTTAGTGATAAAGAAATAAGCGAAATTAAAATGAATTCAGACCAGAAAAACACAAAAAAACTTGTGCAAAAATACTAAAACAATAGACAATTCCCATTATAGACTAATTTTAAATTAGGCAAGGAAACTCAAATAAACCACAGCTAGAAAGAGCATACTAAAATTAGTAAAATTACAAAGTTTGGTTGCGAAATGTTGTAAAATGAGGAAAATATAGCCTTGCAAAGTTCGCAAATTTTGTATACTTTTGTATTGCTTGCGGAAATTCCTACCACATTCCTACCACATTTCGGCCGAAAATGGTCGCACGCAATACAAAAGTATACAAAATTTGCGAACTTTGCAAGGCTATATTTTCCACATTTTACAACATTTTGCAACCAAATTTTGTAATTTTACTAATTTTAGTATGCTCTTTCTAGCTGTGGTGATTTATTTGCATCTCCTTGCCTAGTTTTAAAATTAGTCTATAATGGGAATTGTCTATTATTCGCCTCGGGCTCGGTGATTATCGGGGAATATTCACCTCGACTTCGGCGAATAATTGTTAAATATATCTATAGTATAGGCAAATCCTGTGTTATAGTATAGCCTGTGTCACACACCTTACTATTGGTCTGTGACACAGGCTAGCAAGGTGAGTATGTTTGGAAAGTGTAAATGTGTGCCAACCTCGTTCCCAGGCTTTCTCCTCTACGTTCCTACCTGCATGGGAACGACGTTGTATGTATGCCTTCTTTATCCGATCCGAGAAAAAAAGTGGTGAGACTTTATAACATCTATGACGCGGCAAATTCGACGACGCGCGGTGTCAATTAAGTATAAACAAGAATGAAAGTTGTAGAATTTGATTACTTTAATACATGTTTGAAGCATTTTTAAATAATCTGAGAAGCAGCTTATAGTCCGGTGTAACGATGTGGTGTCTAATACATGGTCGACTTTAAGTAACATTTCTCCAAGAATCGTAAATCGAAATCGTTTTCAAGCAGCGTTTTAACAAATTGTTACTGGCTCAAGGTTGATACGGTATACTGAACTTACCTAAAGAGTCTTTTTTAACATCTTTGTGACGGCTTGATGACTAAAAAGAATCAGACTTAAATAATTCACAATCGCGTCTGTTTTTTTTTCTTTCTGCAAATTAAAGACTTTATTTGAAATGGTAAGACGCGGAGGACTAATTCCCACATCTGTGGTTAATTGGTCCTCCATCGATTATTTTTCCTTAATTCCAAATATTTTCGAAGATATCGCATATATAGGGCCTTCAATTTACTATTCATAACGAACACATTTGTAATTCACGTTTCGTTCATGGAAGAAGCCATTTGTTGTTGTTTGGCGAACGTCAGACACAAGTGAAGTTCTTTCATGTTGCATAATTCATAATGCATCAATGACGTCTTATATTCATGTAAAGGTTTCATATTATATAGGCCAGGCTGGATCACGAAAACCAATTTACTCTTAACGGTCAACCAGTCACTGAATCAGTAATAATCAATAGTCATAGTTCATTGAATGATTCACATATAGTCATTTAAATAAAGATGTCCGTTTGATTCATTTGTAGATACAGGTATTGTAGCTGCAGCGTATTTTGTATAGGTAATATACACTTATTACGAAATTGCACTAAAAAGAATAATTTTGTCAATTGTGAAAAGTTTGCTTGTCAGAGACATTTTTGTCCTGACTTGATTGGAGCAGTAAAATCGCTGCGAACTGCCCTATTTCACATTGATGAGATATAATAGTAGCAATACGGCTATACTTGGTCTGATATACAAGAAAAATAGAAATGAAAGCAAAACTTTACCCCAGTCCCAGATCTTGATTCTGACGATTCTGAAGAACTTGACATACTCCTGCAAAGAAAATATCGACAGTTTGTTGCGTCCTCTAATTTTTGGCATAGTGTTTTTAACCAGGTTTATTTGCCGAATAGTTCAATACGAAGATTAGTGAAGTTTATCATCATAGGTCAAGAATAAATTGACGATATTTTTGTTTAACGAATAGCATGAATAATTGACTTTTGGCAACAAGATACAGTTTATCGAGGGTGCTAATCTCCACTATTCACGCGATTATGTCATCAGCAACGTCAGAACCAGGGTTATAAAACTAAATACAGTGAAGATATTCATATATACATGCAGTGACGGTCAGTGTGTTTTTAAGGTATTTTGATACTAAACACAACGCTGTGTCGCTGTATGCTGCAGACATGCACAAATGTAGTCAGGACTAAGGACAGGGTTCGTGAGGAAGAGTGAAATTCAAGGACTTTTCAAGGACATTCAAGGCCATGCATCAGCAAATTCAAGGACTAAATACTGAAGAAAAGGGGTCAGAAATCAGTAAATCTGACGTTGAATTGTTCAAAACGGAACTTTAATGACTTTCAAACAGCTTTGTCAGATATGAACATGCAAAATCAATCCAACAAAATGTCCGTTTTGAATGTCAAACAATTTCGAAAAACAAAAGCAAGAAAAATTTCGAGAAACAAAAGCAAGAAAAATTCAAGCACTTCTTTACAAATTCAAGGACATTCAAGGACTTTCAAATTTTGTACGAACCCTGTAACGACTTATAGATTCTTTATTTTACTTTTTGATTGATTGAATTGAGAAGAAATACATACAAAGAAAGTGAAGCGATAAGTACTATTTAGAGCATTATTTTAATTAACACTGTTTATATAAAAATTTTGAACCGTTTTACTTTGTTATCCTATTAAATTTAATAGTACTATATTTTGCAAAACAAGGTGGCTACTGTGATTAATTGCAACATTCAACAACCTGAATTAAATAAGCAGTTGCGCGCATGGCAAGGTCTTACATGTCCTTTTTGTTTATTTTGTTATCATTGGGTAAAAAATCAAATGATAGTTATTTATTTATTTATTACAGTGGTCATGCAGTGTACCTAGTTTTCCTCCTGTCGTAAGATGACGATCGTGATCTGTGTTTTCGTGATCTGCTTCTTGAACGGCTACGTGAGCGATGGTGTCGACCTAAAGAAACAAAACACAAATTAGGCATTAGCTAATCGAAACTAATTTTGTAATGACTACAGTATATACAGTATTTAAAGGCACAGTTCAGCCTTTTGAATGATGGTTTTTACGACGCATTTCAGCCCTTGAAGATCAGTGAACTCAATGTCTTTAACAATAAAAATGTTTTAAAATGTTAAAACCATTAAGTTTGCTGATCTTGAATTATGCTTACTTAGTTTTTTCAATTAAAAGGGCTGTAATGCGTCTTAAAAACCATCATTCAGAAGGCTTAACTGTGCCTTTAACAGTATTTGCTACTGGAGTATTGCTGTAATTGTCAAGCCATGTAGAATGACAACACAAAATATGAACATGCAATAATAATAATAACAATTTGGTATTTTGGAACACATCAACTTAATATACTGTGTAAGATTTCTTGAAAATCTGAAATAATAAAGAACGCAAGAAAACATCCTGCATACTGTATATATTATAGCCTATAATATATTTATAGGCTATATAATTATTATAACTGTCACTATTCTTGTGCCTTACAATCATATACTCGCCTTTCATATACCTGCAAGACATTTCACACAAGTCAGTAGAACTCCGGCTTGTGCTAGTTGCCTAGTTCAAGATTACCTGCCGGTCAAAGGAATTGCTTGAATTGCACTATCTGGTCTTTTGTTAACTTTTCATAGCAAATCTTTTTAGCAAGAACCTAGTCACGTTTAAATGCTGACATCACTAAACCAAAAGCCAATCAGAAACATCTTTTTGGACAAATCACATGATTGTTTTCGCATTTGAAAAAATACAGTGACATTAGAGACAGGATTTTGCAAACTCAAACTCGAAACATTAAGTTTCAACTGAATTAACCAGCATTTGTTGATGGTCAAACATACCAAGAGGAAAGGTGAAGAATAAAACTTCATGACCCTTAATCCTTATGTTACAGGACAAGCATGCACCGGCCTCCGAACCATTGCTTCGTTATATTGCCAATTTTTATCAAATTCTCACCGCCAAATGTAACAAATGTTGATAACTACATGCAAAGTATTTGAAAGTTGTGAAATTAACAACAAAATTTAAAATAGAGGTTCCTCCACGCCACGGCCTAATGTAGTAATGAGTAATGCTCCTGTTAGTTTGATCATAATTATATTTCTGACATGCAGTTGTCTGTTGTTCTAAATATATATAGAATTAGGTTTCGTTGTTTACAAAAACATTTGGCAGAGTGCTCAATGGATATCCAGAGCATAATTAAATAAGTGCAACGACTCAACAAATTCCACTAGGCATCTTTATTACTATTAGTTTCGTACCACAAGATGTGGCACTCATCAGATAAATGGGTACGAAACTAATAGTAATAAAGATGCCTAGTGGAATTTGTTGAGTCGTTGCACTTATTTATATATATATATATATATATATATATATATATATATATATATATATATATATATATATATATATATATATATATATATATATATATATATATATATATATATATATATATATATATATATATATATATATATATAATATAAAGCTTTTATGCATGAACTCTAACTGCTCTGTACCCTAGGCCTTAGGAAGTCATTTGGTTACAAGAGATGTAAGATTACATGAATATAGCAAGCAGTCCTTTCCTATTAGAGTATTGCTAATTGTAACTAATTAGCCAAATTTGTCATGCAACTGATGAGTAAATTTAACAAATAGATAAGATTTTGCCGTTGTCTGTTCAGTTATTGATACACTGACTGAAATAAATGAAATAATAGGAAAACAAATTTAAAAAATCAGCACTGTGTGTGTTGACATATAAAACATTTGGTAACTGCTCAAATGCATTTAAAAACTACATGCAATTATCCAACATTCTCACAGATGCCATTGTCCCCATTTCAGAAAGATGTGTTCTTAGCAAAATGCTTGCACTTAACCCATTGAGCCGCAATGCGCCCAAGTGTGCCCTGCTTATTTTTTTTACTTGTCTAACGCCAGACGATTTTATTCGTCAAAGGAGAAGCTCGGCAGCTTAATGGGTTAAAATTAACCAAAAAATCTGACAATGTCCCTAGTTAACCCATTGAGCCGCAATGCACCCTACTTTTTTTTTTTACTTGTCTAACGCCAGGCGATTTTACTCATCAATAGGGATTGAAGCTCTGCAGCTTTAATGGGTTAAAATGTGTACTGTGTCTGATTTAAACAGATTTGGGATTGGATTAAAAAAATTATCCCATTTTTTGGTTTTAACAAACAATTGAATCAATTAGTCTCTTTACATTTTTATGCTCGCATTGTAATGAGGTCAGGGCTTCAAAGATCACTGTCAGTTAATATAACACACAGGGCATGTGTTTCTGTCATATTTTATCAGGGAAAGTTACATGAAGGCAGGACAGAGCTACTCACAGACGGGATAGTGATGTTTTCAAGCCGTATAGTAAACTATTGCAAATTAAAGTTTACCTAATTTATTGTGGGTCCATATCCGTAGTTTCACAGCCTATCAGTCATTTTTACAAATGTTGAAAAATCATTATTTGGTGGATAGTGCTCACTGGGCGTAAAAAAAACCCTCTCTGGTTCTGGTTTCATATCACGAAAAATTAGGGTCGGTAGGTTGGAAATAATTTTTTTTTGAATATTTTTTTCATGTTTTTTTCTCTCTCAATAATTAGTGTGACAACAGGTACGCCATTTTGGCAGCAGCCCGCAACCACCCGGAGAAAATAGGGTTGCACGGTCAATTGCGTTGAAAAATAATAGGGTCGGTAGAAAAAATAGGGTCGGTCGGGAACCGGAATCACAGGTATTTTTTTATTACGCCCTGGCTGTTGCAGTGGCATAACTATTATGGGCTCGGACCGAGAGAGCCCGGGGGACCCAACCCCAATGGGCCAAATGGGGGGCCCCACAGGCTGTAGGGCAAAAACATTGGCCAGGATCTCTGATGTGTTACAATGTCGTTTTCTGATCATCACTCCATCAGGATTCTGTAAAATCTCTCCCCAAAGTCCAGAAAATGGCATTTCAGAGACTCTAGATTCAAACATTTTCTGGGTGAGCATGCCCTGGACCCAATAAAAAACTTGTGCGTATACGGCGGTCGACTCGTGCTTTTGGCACTTATACCAGGGGGGCCTTCGAAAATTTTGAACCGGAGGCCCCCTGATATAATGTTACGCCACTGGGCTGTTGTAAAGTATAAACCTAGCACCAGAGGACTTGGTTGAGTTTATTGAGTTAGCTATTTTGGTTATTTTGTTTCAGTCACTGATTTGATTTATTATTCTAATATTTAAGCCTACAGAGCACTTGATAAACAGTACTTAAACTAATCAACCTGTTAGATGCATCTGGGGGTACCAATGTCAGTTACGATTGGTATGGAGGAACAGATTTTCAATTTACACTTTCAAAGATTCAGCAGCATAATGTATCGATCAATTCGAAACTTCGCCATCCCCCCCCCCCGGGCCGACCCCGGGAATTTGAACTTTTTGAAATTTGACTGATCAAATTCTCCACCCTCTGTGCAAAAAATGTCTTCAAATGCCCCACTGTAACAAGAAATTAAGCATTCAAATGCCCCACCTTCATATGAAAATTAGGAAACAGTAAATACAAAAAGTACAAAATATACGGAAATGTTTTCAACAAGATAGCGAAATTCGCGTAAACAGTTTGGATACCTTGTGGAAATTTAACAGTTTTACACAGTTATGTAGTACATACCTTCAAATGAAACACATAGATTTTCCATGCCCGTTTCTTTGAGCCAGTTTTTTCACAAAATTGAGGCCGTTTCCCTCGAAATCTGAGAAAACTGTATTTGCCGCCAATACGAAGTATTTTCTGTGCATACAGGAAGCACGCGAAAACGGGCAACATTTTAAGACTTCCGGTTCAAATTCCCCACCCCGTTATCAAATGCCCCACCACATGGAAGACTTAGAACGTCAAATTCCCTACTCCCTGGAGAAGACTTGAAGTCAAATTCCCGGGGTATGCCCGGGGGGGGGGGGATGGTGAAGTTTCGAATTGATCGATACATAATATCGGAAGATGCTCAGTTGTTAAAATTGAGGGAGCATTCTTTAATTTAAGGAAAAAATAACAGTGGGCCACTGCCACATACAAGGACATGGTTTATGCAGTAGAAGTGATGATATACCAGAACGGTGTATGGATTCTTGTGTGGTAATTTGTTAGTGAGCCAAGACTAGCTTCACAATAATGGTGTGAGTGAGCCAAGACTAGCTTCACAATCCTCAGGAATTATATTAGTCATCCTGAAAGTCTTAGAAAATACAGGAGGATGTGCGAAGTGTCAACTGTCAATTGCCCCTTGTGTCCGCCACTGTAGGATTCGCAATCGTATATAAAACTTTACGTACCACTTCGTGACTTGCTACTTACGATCCAAACGATCCGATTTCAGGGAGCAATAATCAAAAATAAAAAATACAATAGATCAGAAGACAGCATGAATATAACATATAAAAACCTCATTCCCAATTTCCCAGCATGTTGTACCAGAGATCAGAAATGAGTATTAAACCACCTCGAACTACGATGTTGTCTTCTATGTTTCGAACTTCTCCGATCATGTCTGTTTCTGCTTCTCCGACGTCGACTGTCTCTACTTCGCGATCTTCTCCGACGTTCCTTGCGACGTCGGCCTGGTGATCGGCTCCGACTTCTAGATCTGCTTCTCGAACGACGACGTCTTTCATCGCGATCTCTCCGTGATCTTCTTCGATCCTCATCTGAGCTGTATTTTCCCATAATTGAGCAGAAGTTAGATTAGATTTATTACTGGGTCTACATGACTGTATCTCAATTTCTCAAAACAACATAAATTTTCACAATCACAAAATCAAAGATTCAAAATGGCGGGGTGTTTCCACAATGAAATGACATAAATCCTAATTTCGAATAATTTCGTAAAAAATTCTTGCTGGTCAACTGAAGTTCAATTTTAATATATTTACTAAAACTGTCTGACCAGTGTAGGTAGTACCAATGTAGAAATGCTGTGCTTTGTGGTTATATTACTACCTTAAAAATAAGCAGAAAATTTTGGGAGATGAGGTAATTTCTCAAAAGTGTAAACAAACGTTGAAATGGGCAAGTGCAAGTGCGTTTTGTTATAGGCGTAAGGGACCGCTCATTATTTATTGTACAGGGGATTGTGAGGAGGAGAAACTGGGGGGGGTGTTAGAATTTTGCCTGAATGGGGGGGGGGGCTTTGAAAAAATACAGAGAGACGAAAGAAAGGGGGCTTTGAAAATATTTACCAGTTTGAAAAAACAGTAGTTTTAAAAATGTATCACAAAACAACTTAACAAATAACAATGTTTATAGACCTTGGAAGCCAAATAAAAAGTCTCTTATGTTCATGTAAATAGAGAATTCCCATTATAGACTAATTTTAGAAGTTAGAACTAGGCAAAGAGATGCAAATCAAGGCCGGATTTTGGCGAAAATAGTGGGGGAGGTGGAAAAAAATTTTAGGGGAGGTGCAGCGGTCTAGCTCACAACCCCCATGGAAAATTAGGGCTTATTGTAGAACAGGCCAATATCAACGAGGTGAGGTATGCATGTAGTGTACATATGTACCAGTGTATTAATGAATTATGAATGTATATGACTCCAATCTTGCCCTTCATTACAATTGTTACAAAGTTTCTTTCAAAACATTGCATTAAAAGGGTACTTGACACAGAGATGAATGGCTATCACTGTTTCAATTTTACAGAGAAAACGTTCTTTCGTCACGAAGTGTAGATCCTAAGCAACCATCACATTTTCACATTGTTCCATCACTGAAACTTGCCCAAGGGGAGGTGCATGACCTTTCAGGAGAGGTGGAAAAATTCTCAGGGGAGGTGCAAAACGATCTCAGGGGAGGTGCAAAACGATCTCAGGGGAGGTGCGCACCTCTCCACACCTCCCCTCAAAATCCAGCCTTGATGCAAATAAATCACCACAGCTAGAAAGAGCATACTAAAATAAGTAAATTATTGCAATGTTTGGTTGCGAAATGTTGTAAAATACGGAAAATATAGCCTGCAAAGTTTGCAAATTTTGTATACTTTTGTATTGCATGCGAAAATTGCAATACAAAAGTATACAAAATTTGCAAACTTTGGAAGGCTATATTTTCTACATATTTTACAACATTTCGCAACCAAACTTTGCAATTTTACTAATTTTAGTATGCCCTTCCCGGGAATATACTTTTTTTGCTAAGATAACAATACAAAAGTATACAAAATTTGCAAACTTTGGAAGGCTGTATTTTCTACATATTTTACAACATTTCGCAACCAAACTTTGCAATTTTACTAATTTTAGTATGCCCTTCCCGGGAATATACTTTTTTTGCTAAGATAAAAAATTAGTCTATAATGGGAATTGTCTATTGGTCCCCATTATCTATTTTTGTTTCTCTAAATAAAGAGCTAGAGTTTTTGTTTCTCTAAATAAAGATAAAGAGCTGGAGGGGGGACCAAAATTTATGTTCGTGTTTTGCCTGTTGGGGGGGGGGGGCTTTGAAAATTTTACTTGTCTTAAGAGGGGGGCAACGAAAAAATATTATAACTGTAGAGTTTCTCCTCAGTCTCCCCCTGTACAATAAATAATGAGCAGTCCCTAAGCCGTAAGGGGTAATTAGGGACCGTTCATTATTTATGGGGGACGGGGGCATAGGTGATTTTTGCAAATTTTCTTATTTTCCCCAAGACCCCACCCTTAAGCCCCGTTTACACGACAGTCATTTTGGGCACGGCACGCTTAATTTTTGTCGTGTAAACGCAAAATTAAGGGTCCGCAGGCCCAAAATTTTAAGCGGGCCGAGACCTCCTCAGGAGGTAGTCTCGGCCCGCTTAGAAATGGGTCCGCGGACCGAAAACTTGTCACGCACGCGTTTTGTTTCTAGCATTGCAAAAATATCGTGTCTGTACAAACAAAATATCGAGAGAAAATGCATGTGCATGGTCAGACGAAGCCATATACAATATGACTGGAGCTCCGATATATATTATGGTCATGCATAAAGAAGCTATATTCAACTGGTATTCTTGCTACACTCAAGTCAAAGCTCACAGCAAAGCGAAGAGAAAGAGAACTGTATTTAAGCAGTTTAAGCAATGCTGATATAATGTGATGGTGAAGATATTATTTCATAATTAACAATCATTTGCCGAGGGCGAAGTGCTATCGGTCAACATTCACCATAATCATGCAATGTGCCAATGAGCCTGCAGCCGAATCGTTGTAGTATAAATTAATTTTCAACGAAATAAAACAGAATATCTAAATATCAGTTTAGGTATTCTGAAATTAAACTGTTGTCGCTGCTTGTCAGCCAGTTAAGTTTATACTGCGAGGTTACTGAATATTTTAGTGTTGCCAATTAAAAGACGCAGTGTTTCTTGTTCGCAGTGTGCACGCTTTCAAAATGGCATCCTATATTTTTATAATATGAATTTATTGCTTTATTACAAAGTTGTTTATCGCCATGAAGGTCAATGAAATATCATGATCTATAGCTTAGAAACATAGGCGTACCGGGCGGGGGGGGGGGCGGTAGCCCCCCCCAGTTTTTTGGGCAGTCGGGCAATATTCGATCAACAGTCGGGCAATTTTGGTTTGCAATAAAAAAAATGGGACAAATTCTGTCAATTTTGTCTAAAATTAAGTCAAATTTTTGGCAAATTTTGTGATTTTTCGAAAATTTGTGTTATGTTCCGAAAAATATTGGTTGTCCGGAAAATTTTTTTGACCCCTAAAATGGTAGACTGACTGAAATTTTTTTGGCGACGGGGGGGGGATGGTCGCCAAAATAATTTTTCCGGAAAAAATTTTTTGGTACTAGTCGGGCAGAATCCTGAAAAGTCGGGGCAATTTTCTTTCCGCCCCCCTAATTTTTTCCTTCCGGTACGCCCATGCTTAGAAAATTAAAACACTTTCATATAATGGCTTTTCAAGCATGCACCAACAAGTAGGGATTTTGCTAGGTTTATATGAGTTTTTAAACTTACGGTTGAAAAAATACATGCATGCATGCATGGAACTACACAAACTTTGTATTTTTTACGAAAATGTTAATAATTATCTGGAAATACTTCAATACAAATTTTCGAAAACTTAAACTATATCTCAATAAAAATATAGTTTCTGCTTATTTTCCTCGGGAAAAAGCTGAAATGTTAATTTAATGCTCGGAATATTAGTTTAATACACTTTTCGCTACACCAGAAAGTTATGGCTGAATAGATGTCATAGATGAGATGATTCATGTCAAGTCAAGATTTTGACTCTGAATGTAAGAACTCGCCGTTCGCAGTTTAAGCGTGCCGAACCCAAAATTCTTAGAACAAAAATTTCGTCGTGTAAACGCAACAGGCGGACCAAAAAGCATGGGTCCGCGTGCCAAAATTTAAGCGTGCCGTACCCAAAATGACTGTCGTATAAACGGGGCTATAGCCCCTCCCTATAAAAAAACCCATAAAAATGCATGTACCATTTTGTTCACAGTGAATGAGTAACACATGTACTTCTGCAGCTATTGCAATTTGATATGCATATTTTTGTACAGTGCTACAATGTACAATTCACACTATCAAATGTACATCTTTGTTTTTGATTCTTTTTGTGTGCAAGTGTGCAACTATAAACTTTGTACAGCAGGGACAGAAAGCAGGAAAGAAAGTTAGTTATTATGTATTAATATACAAAGCACCAAACAGCACTCTTTAATATCTGATTTATCTAACCCAATTCAAAAGCAAACCCGGAATGTTTTAAACATTTTAATATTACAATGAGTTGTTTGTGGGGCCAGGGTCGAATGTTTGAAGGGTGTGGGAGCATTGAGTGGCGAGGCCACAAATCACCTAGGGGGGTCGGGGGCATGCTCCACCGGGAAAATGTTTTATTTCTAGGACTCGGAAACGCCATTTCCCACACTCTGATAAGAATTTTTAAAAGTAATTGGTCATGAATAACAAAATTCTGTTATTATTACATTGGAACAAGGCACAATACACGTGAAAATATCTTTAGAGAATTAAAGATTTATTGATTATTGTCATCATCACGCATATCTTGGAGCCATATCTACAAATGTTTGTACCATCTAGAATTAATTACTATTAATTGAATTTGACTCGTTGTTTACCTCACCTGCCCCCCCCCCCCATATCTCGCCGGATTTGAACTTTCAAATTGTTTCAGGTATTACAGTCGATTTCAACTTACTTTTCACTAAAATGTTGCGAAGTTCGTTCCGAACTTCGCAAATTCGTTGCAAGGTTCAAAAGTTCATAATGAAATTCACAAACGGGTTTGTAAACTGGGCATTTGATTGGCTGGTCCGTTTGATTTAATTAATAGCCAATCAGAGGCTTTGTTTACAAACCTGTTTGTGAATTTCATTATGAACTTTTGAACGTGGCAACGAATTTGCGGAACGAAGTTCGCAACATTTTAGTGAAAAGTAAGTTGAAATCGACTGTAATTCAACCTCGTTCCCAGGAGCTGGTTATGTGACACCTCGTTCCCAGGGAACACCTCGTTCCTGGGAACGAGGTTGGTATAAATTAATTAGACCATTGCATGTTCTCTATTCCCTTGTGAACGGAGAGCAATATACGAAAACGGATTAGTGTGGACGTAGCCTAGCTCCTTTGGAATGAAATTCACTTGATTAGCATAACTGTGCTCCAGCTTACATGCATGCACAAATAAACACGTCCATTGGCATTGTGCTTTTTTCGACGTTTTGCGGTTTCAGAGGACAACCTTAATTAAGTTTCCTCCGACAGGGAAAGTTGACAGGGTGGTTTAAGATGAATACAGTTAAGAAAGTAATATCACAATTGTTGTGAAGATAAAATGGTCTAGGCTAAGTATGTAATTAGGTAAGCGTAATACTTGATGTAAAGCGCATTTTGTCATATCCCCATGTAAATTTGCGCTATAGAAATGCTTATCGTAATTATTTGTTCTTCCGTCAAATTTTCCACACAGGGGGAGTAAAAAAAACCTGACATCTTTATTATTCAAATTAGCCGCGAAGGTATCAGTTTTTTTTTACTCACCCTAGCTGTATTTATCGATGACTAAATGGGACTAAGTCGTCTCAGACATTAATGCAGTCTTCTCTTCCGATCTATACAACACTATACAGGGTGTATCAAAATAAACGCAATTCATCTTTTGTGCTTAATAACTTTCGAAATACTATTTCTAGTTAAACGCTTTTAGGCTTACTTCAAAGCCTGTTCTTTTCTCTTTCAAACAAACTATTATAGATCGGAAGAGCACACGTCTGGTAATAATTGCACAGGAAAAGATTTAGTAAAACCTATAATTTTTAGTTGCTGTTTAATTATGCAAGTTTACTATGTTATTGTTTAGTCGATTTAAATGTTAGAATTTTCTTCTTTAAACTTTAATGTTGTCGTCACTACATCTGGAAAACCACGTAAGAACAAATTAAAAGTATTTTAAAAGAGACCAGGTTGTTTGAAAATCCTAAACGAATGCTAAAAATCGTCAAAACATTCTGGTGTCTGAGCCAGAGTGTCATCGAATTGCGATGTAATGTAAACAGAAATTATAGCAAGTTGATGTCAGTCAGCTTAGATGGTCCAAGCCAAAATTATATCGCATTTGAAGTTTCAAACTGACTTAAAAATAGTGGAAGAAAAGCCGTAATTATACTTATTGTTACAATCCATTTAATAAAATGCAACATTTTTTGTTTTAATGAAAAAATCAGTTATTTTCATGAGAACGATTTGTTATTCCATCTCATTTTTTTTAATCTCCAATCGCAATAACGTAAAGTATTATTATCCGCGAACCAATGAGTCAAATTTAAGAAACAACCCACTGTTAGAAAGCTGAATGGCTACGCTTTAAAATGAATGTAAACTTTAACGTTTTCGTCTATTATTTGTTTAGCAATTTACATTTCAGTCGAGGATTGCGCTTTTTTTGATACACCCTGTATAAGTTAATATACGTTCCAAAAGATATATATACTACGCTTTAAAATGAATGTAAACTTTAACGTTTTCGTCTATTATTTGTTTAGCAATTTACATTTCAGTCGAGGATTGCGCTTTTTTTGATACACCCTGTATAAGTTAATATACGTTCCAAAAGATATATATATATATATATATATATATATATATATATATATATATATATATATATATATATATATATATATATATATATATATATATATATATATATATATATATATATATATATATATATATATATGACCTGCAGGATCTAGTGAGTAGTGAAGATCCCGTTCCTCTGCAAAGAACAGGGAGAACGTGATTATAAGATATTAGCAAAATCATGAGCATAAACTTGGAAATATTTTAGGAAATATTCTACCAAAACAATCATTCAAGAATAATACAATAGAATATGTGAGAGAAATCATTATTAAAGAACATAACAAAAAGTTCAATCTACCCAGAGTATGCTTTGGTAAGATATTTTCTGCCTATTTAACTATTTTCAAAGACTTTTCAAAGACCTTTGAGAGCAATCAGCTGTCGAAAAATTGCGAATGTAAGCACCATTTTTTCCCAGTAATTAGTCCCGTCAAATCACATCCTAAAATGTGCCTTTTCGTCGATATTTGCGAAAATCTTGCTTCAATCAATCTATTTTATTAGCTAGGAAATCGTATAATCAAATACTCACTTAAGAATTTAAAGACTTTTAAAGACTTTCTTCGCTTTTTCACACAATTCAAAGACTTTTCAAAGACCTTAAAGACCTGCGTTCAAATTTAAAGACTTTCAAGGATTTCAAAGACCGCTACGAACCCTGTTGGTGCTAACCTGTGAGCGGGCATACTCTGGGTACGAGATTGGAAAGAGCCATGTAATAGACCTTTCTTATAAATGAAGCCAAACGCAGAAAAACAGTTAATGGGATGTCCCAAGGGACAATGCAAATGATGTTTTTATGAAATTTATTGGCTCGCCAACGACTTGCATTGACCCGTGGGGTAACGCATAAATGCTATTGAGAATATTATCATTAAAGGGATATGACAATATAAATTAAGTTTGTCTTATTTGAAAGAACATTTAAAATTATATAGAAACTTTCTTTACAATTATTCCGTATCTTGCTTGGTTTTCGAAATAAATAAGACTTATTTTGATAAAAAGCAGCGTGCATCTTGGGTAAAAAGAGAAATTTTTATCTTGCAAACCACATGTCATTATCAATATAAAACTCTATTTTCCGAAGTCTTTTAGTACTCAATTAACTCACAACATTTTAAGAAACTTTTCTAAGGAATTTAGTCTTACATGAAGAAGTTTTAACAAGTTTACCCTGCTTGTGACGTTTTTAATTTGGTCAAAATATTTCGAAAACCAAGCAAGGTACGAAAAAGTTGTAAAGGGCTTCATATATAACTTTAAAAGTTCTTTCAAATAAGACAAAGTTAATTTTTATTGCCATATCCCATTAAGGGTGTTTTCATTTTTTTCGCATCTTAGCTGAGTAAAAATTACCAGTGTTATAATAGAGGCCTGTCCGCACGATACGATTAGTCACGTATATGATTGTCATTCTGGCGTACGAAAATTACTATTGCACTTCACTTAGACCCCGTTCACACGATACCGGCATGGAATTCTGTTAGTTTATAATGAAATTTAGATGCAATCTCTTTCACCCGTGCTTATTCGATTACATACGCCAGAATAAGAATCGTACACGACTAACGCATCCTGTAGACAGACCTTGAGATATATACATTGATTGTTTTATTTTAATTTGGAAGTTTAGGGCAATTAGGGAAATTGTTCATCGCAGTTGCAATATTACACTGAATGTCCCTCTTATCGGTCGGATCGTAGGATAATAATTAACGGCAGCGCTGGAGATTACTGCAGTAGTTGATACGGAAGAAGCGTATTGCATATAAAACAGTATTGTTTATGTATATATTCAGTTCATCGAGACAACAGCACATCGAGAATACAAGTCCTATTATTTGGCACTCTTTTCCTTGTAAACAACAATGCCTTTATCTATTAAGTCAGGTATTTCTACAGCAAGCCAGGGACCAAGCTAAAGATAAAAGAAATAAAATTGACATATTAAAAGGAAAATACAAGTCGACAAATTAACACATGAGGTTAGAAATGAAAGAACAATTGAAATAAAATAGAAAAAAATGACAGAATGAAGAAGAAAGTGAAACAAGAATGATAAAAAGAGGAAACAGCGATCAATACAAAGGAAAATAAAATCCAGTCCAAATTGGAGGATTTGAAATGATATCTCATACGAATAAATCACTACTTAAGTAGATACAGTCTTATAGGACTGGATCAATATACTTCACCAGGTATCCAATATTATCATGTGAGCAAAATATGGTTGGCTATTTACTCAGGAATTATTAAGGATTTGAGATTTTTTTCACCCTTGCAACATTGCAGTCGTGTTTCCATAACTCGAAACACGGTACTACAGTAGTTCACCAATCACCGTCCAAAATACCAAATTAAGATGTTTACAAGTTTCTCTAATACCTGTACAATTTACGAAAACTTGATGCTTGTGATGTTACTCCGAGTGTATATCCACACCGGGAAAGCTTGAAAAATATGCCTGACCACGGTGGGAATCGAACCTACGACCTTTGGAATACTAGCCCATTGTTAGATTACATTGATATCGAAGGAACTAGCCTATTGTTAGATTACATTGATATCGAAGGAACTAGATTCTGTTCCGAAATATCACATACTCGAACCGACCAGACCGCGTAGCTCAGTTGGCAGAGCATTGGGCTAGTATTCCAAAGGTCGTAGGTCAGGCATATTTTTCAAGCTTTCCCGGTGTGGATATACACTCAGAGTAACATCACAAGCATCATATTCACCTGAGTACATTACACCAACACAGAAAAATTACTAAAACTTACACCTAAAGCCATTGCATGTGCTATTCCAAACTTTGGCACATTCCTTGCCCACAACGGTTTAAAATGCTCAGTTAGACAAATCTTGCCTCCTCTATAAACAATTAAAAATATTGGCTAAATTAACAGGTGGGGAGTTTGTTTATGCTGACCAAGGAATCGTGGGCTAACCCTGATGATTCTTGAATTTTCTTCGAAAGCAGTCCATCGTTTGTTGTAAAATGTTGTAAAATGCGGATAATATAGCCTTGCGAAGTTTGCAATTTTCAGTCATTTTAGATTACAAACGGGAAATGGTTACCACTTCTGTGCGTAATACAAAATGACTGAAAATTACAAACTTCGCAAGGCTAAATTATCCGCATTTTGCAACGAAACTTTGGAATATTACTAATTTTGTGATGCTCTTTCAAGCTGTGATAAAATTTTTGTTTAGGCCAGTTAAGATCAAAATTTTGGAAAAGTGGTAACCATTTCCTGTTTGTAATCTAAAATGACTGAAAATTGCAAATTTCGCAAAGCTATATTATCCGCATTTTACAACATTTCGCAACGAAACTTTGGAATATTACTAATTTTGTGATGCTCTTTCATGCTATGATGGAATTTTGCCTAGATTTGTTGAGATCAAAATTTTGGTTAATTGGGGAATGGTCTATTGGGACGCAAGTTCTGTTTCAGACTCCTGTCACAAGTACTAATTATTTTGTTAGTTTTTATTGTTCTAGTGTCGTTGTAATTGTAAAATTTTTCTATGTAAATGTGACAAATTCATTAAACTAAACTAAACAAACAATCGAAGACAACGAAACGTCCGTTCCGGCAAAGTTAACATAAGAGTAAATGCATTTATTTCAAGAGCATGGTAAAGGGTATAAGAGCCGTGAATTGCAAATATTTGTTCTCGTGAAATGACGGGTTTTTGTAGTCGTGAAACGTGATTTAAATTGCATGTATGGGTAGCCGTGATCGCCGGTAATTTCTGTCCAGGAAACGAGGATATATCTGAGGCTGGTACACACGTAAAAACGCACAAGTTGTAACAAGTCTGCAAACAAGTTGTTACAAGTCTGTTCACAAGCTGTCAACAAGTTGCGTTCGCATTGTTTGTTCCCAGTTTGTTCATTTGTTGTAACAAGTTTGAAACAAGCTGTTAACAACTTGTAACAAGCTTGATGGCATTATCAGCCTTGTTACAAGACTGTGCTAATAAGTTTGTTACAGCCATGATATAACAAGGATGTTACAAGGTTTTCAACACAAGGTTGTAACAATCTTGTTATATCAAGCATGTAACGGACTTGTCAGAACAACCTTGCAACAGGTCTGATAATTTTGACAAGGTTGTTACAAGTTGTCAACAAGTTGTTCCAAATCTGTTCACAACTTGTGACAAGCAGTGCGAATACATCTTGTTGACAGCTTGTGAACAGACTTGTTACAAGATGTGAGATTTGTACGTGTGTAGATGTGGAGATTTTTACGTGCATCTATAGCCTTGAAATAATGTTTCCCTGTTTTCAGGGGCGTGGTGAACGACTCAGGATTGGGGGGGGGGGGGCGTCATACAATAATGACCAACTTTTTCAATGAAACAATATAACATACAATAATGACCAACTTTCTCTTTCTTACGTAGTGGAGTTTCTTTTTATTGGGGGTAATACGAGAGAGTTCATGCAAATCTGCATAGCCATGTAATCTGCACGATATTAATCATATGTAATCAGCTAACGATGAATGTTTAACTACAATTATTAATAAAAATACACTCGGTATATTTATTTGAACTATAATTCTTTAAGACTTCTATATACAATATAGGGAAATGATCGTGGCTGCTTGTTAAATGTGCAGTCCACAGCATTTGCAGTCTCACGGTTTCGAGTATCTCTGGGCAGGGGCGCATATCCCAAAATATTTTTAGGGCGGGGTGAAAAATATTTCGGGACCGACTTTTTACGTGTTTACATTTGGAAGCGACGCGTATATCTAGGGAGAATCGTATTGACCTTCGAATCTTCGAAATGGCATTTCTTTAGTGTGCCGAACCATTTGCGATCAATATTTCTGTCCACGATTACGTTTATATATCTTTGTGCATGACTGCAAAGGGCAAAAATTATTTGCAAAATTGAAGTCCCTAGATCGTCGGTCATGCTATTTTCAGAGTCTTATTTACCTCTTTCGTTCGGTCCTTTTCAAATTCCTTTATAACCTTTCAAAATTTATTAATTTATTTGGAGACGGAATGGAAACAACCAGTTTGCGTAATGTTTATACTGGACGATCGGGACCGACAAAATTGTCTGTTTGGGACCGACTTTTTGGACATTCCAAATTATGGGGGTGTAACACCCCCACACCCCTCATATGTGCACCCCTGTCTCTGCGATAAATGCTAGAATTGCAAGATCTGTACATGGGTAACTTATTATAAAACTATCAAAGTTATTGACAAAAATTGGTCCCAAAACAAACACTAATTGGTGATGTGCGATGCACATTACAGTTAAAATTTAATCGCATTTTTTCCTCAATATATTTTGACCAAAAACAAATTTGACCAAATTTCAATATTGATGAAGAACGGTTATTTCTTTAAATGTTAGCGCATTTACTCTTAATATTTTCTTTGACCAACAATAAAACATTTTGACCAACTTTTTAATATTCAGAATTATTGGTGGGCGTCGCCCCCCCCCCCCAGTAGCCACGCCCCTGCCTGTTTTTAGTGCACAAAACAATGTCACTCGACTTGCACTTCAAAGTCAATCAAAGGTTTCAATCCAATCAGCATGCACCATGCGCTGGGTCACGGGAATATATTTTTTTAGCTCGGGTCTGAATGTCGCGGCTAACACCCTATATACGGACGCAAGTTTGTCTGTGGTTTGTTTGTTTCATCTTGACGGATGAACTGTTTGTTTGCCAGTGGACGAATTGTCAGACCAACTATATACTCGTATCTTTGTCCAAGTTCGTCCAGGCGGATCATCTATCTCTAGTATTATTGGGTCATTATATCACCAAAAAGCTATGTGTAAACTTTTAATTTATACCTGTACATCTTAGCAGTTTTTCCATCTAACTCAGGTAATGCAATCTCTGGAGCAGTAGTAGGATATGTTACTGGAATCTATAGCAGTAAGAATATATATGTTTGTTTTAAAATTAACTGTACTACAATGTGACTCCATCTGATGTGTATAAGTGATAGCCAACTGTATGTCAACCTCATGTACTTAACAAATGAAACATTTGATCGCATTTAACATATATTCTATACACATTCGAAATACTCGCGAGTGCCAAGTGGTGATTTTAACTGTATGTCAACCCACAAGCGGCCCAATCTCAGAATGAATGATCAGGTGTTGCGGGTTTTTAACGGTTTTTATAAACAAATTTATAGTCAACCAAAACTATTTTAAAAAAATTCTTAAATTAGTGAAATAAATACATTTTAACAATAAAATATAGTTGACATGATAGTAGGCCTATAATATACCTTTGCATTCTTTTAATTAATCCATGAGCTCATTTAGAGCGGTTGATGTAACATTTTCAGTGGCCTACATTGTGTGTGCTCATTATATATATAATACCAGTAAAAGGCTAATCACTGGCGGCCCGACCGCATCGCCTTCAAAGTCAAATATCTCCGCTCAAACTTGTCGTACGCCAAAACAAATTCGATTACATCTTTTCACAAAGATTTCTCTTTCTAAATAATGTGGTTTGATCATAGTTTGGGCAAATTTAGCGACGAACGGAGCCAAAATATCCTCAATTTCGGATACTGTTCAAAATACTTAGGGCTGCTTGGGCACGATCGTGGACGTGACGTAATCAATACATGTTGACAATACCTCCTTACCCGGAGTGGGACAGCATATCAAATCCGACGATGATTTGTCGCTTGATGCTGTCCCACCCCGCGTAAGGCGGTGTGATGCTCTTTCAAGCCGTGATGAACTTTTTGTCTAGACTTGTTTAGATCAAAATTTAGTCTATAATGCAAATGGTCCAATCTGGAAGAGTTACAAATGGTTACTTTAAAACACTTACATCAAATTCAATATCAAATTCGTACTTTAGCAAGTTGTGCACATACCAACATTTTCCAAACCACCTGCAAACCGAATGAACATTATTATTTTACCATAAGTTGCTCTAAGTACGCTAGGTTGCTCGGCAATAATCGTCAATAATATTCATTGCATTTTGTTTTCGTTCTCTCATTGGCTAAAAGCCTACAGCTATGGATAATTCTATAGGTATTTGCAGGTGCCCGCGCAATTATTTTTCAGCGGAAACAGTTATCTGTCAGCCGTTCCGCACGTTGTAACCAATAATCTATTGGCGTTGTAAAGCCATTGTACGCAGTGAAGTATTGCGTCTACAATTACAATTATAATAACCCTAATCCAAACGCTAATCAGCATGCAATAATTTTTATACTTTAAATATACGACAAGTGGTTTAGTCGACAGTGTAACAAGACAGGGTACCCCAGGGCAAGAAATTGTTTATGAACGGCGGGAAAACAGGGTTTTCAATCAGGAAAAGCCACTGAACTATACAGGGTGTATCAAAAAAAACTGAACAGATATGAAATTGCTCTCAATTTCGCAAAACACCTATTTGTATCTGTTTTTTATATATAGAGCTTCTTTGGGTACTTATAATGTAAAATAATGAAAAAAAATTCTCGAACTCAAATTCTGTGAACCAGGGGGGTGTGTCTTTCCCAACAAACTAAAAATGGCTCGCGCACAAAATTTAAAAGCTGTAATCATATTTTGAGTTAATAGATTGAAAATTTGGCGGGTTTTTAATTACTGTACAAAATTTCAGACAATTTGGTTTAGTTTAAGCCCTTTAACTATTCATTTTGTTCTAAAAAATCAGCCTTTCGCATGCTTAATTAATGCCTTTACCTAATTTGCATATTGCTGACATATGCAAATTAGGCAAATGCATTAATTAAGCATGCAAATAGCTGATTTTTCGGGAAAATTGTAACTTTGCGTGAATAGTTAAAGGGCTTAAACTAAACCAAATTGTCTGAAATTTTGTACAGTAATTAAAAACCCGACAAATTTTCCATCTATTAACTCAAAATATGATTACAACTTTTAAATTTTGTGCGCGAGCCATTTTTAGTTTGTTGGAAAAGACACACCCCCTGGTTCACAAAATTTGAGTTCGAGAAATTTTTCTCATTATTCTACATTATAAGTACCCAAAGAGGCCATATATATAAAAAAAACCGGATACAAAGAGCTGTTTTGCGAAATTGAGAGCAATTTTAAATCTGTTTGACACACCCTGTATAACATATATATAGTTCACTGGGAAAAGCAGGGAAAGTCATGACTGCCGATCACCATAATCGGGAACTTTGGAAACCATATTTCAAGCCCTGTACCCTGATAGGTAACTACCAAATTCGTAGCTCTGAAGTCGCTATATATAATAACCTATAGTCTACATACCAGGTGATCTCGGAACTCGGAAAAGGCCTGGCACTAGTTGTAAAATAGAAATCCATTTCTGATTTAAAATTACTCAATATCTCATCAACTGTATTAGATTTCTATTTCAAATTTGTCCCAGACATTAATTTCTCTGTGCACGACACAGACACAAAGTTTCAAACAGTTTCACAAAAGAATCAGGGCGTGACAAGTGATTAAATTGCTAGTCCCAGTCCTTTTGCTCACCGTCAGATCACCTGGATATAATTACCTAATCGCAATAACCCATACTGTCTCAGTAAACCAATGTTGGTCCCCAGACCATCATGCATGCAACACTCAACTAACTGAACAACATGCACAGAGCTGCGTCACCTCCTCTGCAATCTAGAGGTCCGCATGTTCCTCCAGATAATAATTAGACATGCAAGAGCCTCTAGACCGTTTTTTCGAGCACTTCCTTGCCCAAAATGATATGCCACAAAATGTGCCTCATTGTATCGATGTCTATCGATTGTCTTGCCAAGTCGCCAGTTGTCCAAACTACTTTAGGCTAACCTAACATATTAAACTACATTAAACTACTTTGCTTTTTCTGTTTTTCTCTTCTTGCATACTGACTTGTCATACAATAAACAGAATAAATGAAGAAAATGTAATGGATGAGATGTATAAAGATAATTAGCGCATACCTCGTTCCCTCTTTATTAGATTCAAGACGAAACCAGTCATTATCCGCTTGTTTATTATTGCCAACATACTAATGAATAAAACATAATCAAGGTTACTTGTTACGTTAACAATACTCAAAACACGAATAGGAAAGGATTTTCATGTAAATATATTCTGCAAGTTGAAATCATAACAAGTAAAATGCGACATTGCCATTGTTGGTCCTCGTAACAAAGTTGGATCACGACATATAATCGTTTCGTGCATGCAGCTATACATCCATGGCTTCGGCATTTGCTATTTTTCTGCATGCAACGTCACGTTTAACACACAAATAAAATAATTTATTATGTTTGTGGTGTTACTCTGAGTGTGCATCCACACCGGGCAAGCTGAAAAGTTAGCCTGACCACGGTGGGAATCGAACCCGCGACCTTTGGGATACTAGTCCAATGCTCTGCCAACTGAGCTACGAGGTCAAGTCGGTGATATTTCGGAACTGAGTCTAGTTCCTTCGATATCATGCAATGTATTCTAAGGTATGATACTTTTTGTGTGTGTTGGTGTTATGAACTCAGTGTACTTTGTGTGGATGTACTTTGTTTTATTTTTTTTATTTTCTGCGTACAACCTCGACAAATACTGAGCGACCTTTGGGTTCCAGATATACAGCTATTTCAATTAAGGTTGTCCACGAGCAAAGCGGAAAAGTCGAATACGAGCACGAAAGGCTCCTGGAATCGCTTTGAAAATTCATTAATTTTTTAGCGATTCCCAGCAGCCTTTCGCGCTCGTATTCGACTTTTCCGCTTTGCCCGTGGACAACCTTAATTGAAATAGCTGTAAGTATTTTGCATCACAAAGTTTCTTACTTTAAATTTCTTTGTAAAAATGAATTGTAAAATTATCAAAACATCAACACTTTGCAGCCGACGTCTTGGGTTTTCATTATGGCATTATGCCCTGTTTGATTTTTTTAACTTAAAAACTAAAAGAGCTATTACACGTAAACTGTAAAATGGTAACGGTTATCAAATTAGTTTAACAGGCCGTTTTTAGCTAATTCTCGACACTTCCCAAAATGTTTATTCACGTTTAAACGCAGCTCTCTCGGTCAATATTGCACGAAAATGCACAGGGCGTATATCAAAATTTAAGTTAGACAATACTGAATGCAATGCACGTGGTTTAGGTGTAATAGCTCTTTTAGTTTTTAAGTTAAAACGAATCAAACAAGGCAACTTTTTTTGCGCCACCCGGTATAAGAATCAATTTTCCGCTCGCTGGTTCAGTCAACAACCCACTGGGACTTATTTCGTTTTTCTGATTTTCGTTTATTCAAACAATCTTTTACAATCAATCAATCTTAACCAATTCCAATATATATACATTTCATACGATCTTTAAAAACACTCTTCAAACACTCCAACAATCTCTAGCACTCTAATTACAACAATATTTTTGCACTCATATTTATAGTCTAAAACTAGGAACAATGATTTTAGTTCACACGTTATCTTTTACAAAAAAAGGTGTCTTTCCCAAAGTCACGTTTAATGTTCGTCATATCAATATCATATCCTACTTGCGGTTCTGAAACGTACTCAATATCATCTTCGAAAGCAGCTGGCCCAGATGAAATACCGAATTGGGTTCTAAAAGATCATGCGCACCTGTTGGCTCCTCCTGTTACTTCAATCTTCAACGCCTCCCTTCAACAGGCGTCTGTTCCCACAGTATGGAAAAAAGCCGACGTCATCCCTGTCCCTAAAAATAAGGCCATCTCGCTTACTGCCACTTTGTCAAAAACGTTTTGTTGCAGACTGGCTGATGTAGTTGATTAGTGGGAAGATTGATAAACGACAATTTGGATCTCTAAAAAACTCCTCAACAACACATGCATTATTGAGCCTTGTCCATCACCTATTAAACGAAACTGATGTGTCGAAAAACGCTGTGAGAATTTTTTATTGGACTTCTCCAAAGCTTTTGATCATATCAAATCCTCAGTAAATTATCTGATATGGACGTCCATCAATCATAACAAACTGGATAAGAAGGTTTCTTACTCGACGAAGCCAATGCCCCATTGTGTGTCAGAATGGCAAATCCTCAACGTGGAGTACCACAGGGAACTGTTTTAGACCCAATTCTCTTCTTAATCGTGATAAATGATCTTCTCGCCGATTGGAAGGACCGATGGAAATACGTTGACGATACTACAACTACTGAAACCATTGGCTCAGATTGTAACAGCAATCTTCAAGATCTGGTTAATTACATCGATATAATTGGACTACGAGGAATAATATGAAACTAAACATCGGAAAATGCAAAGAGCTGGTTGACTTTGCAAAAAAGAAGCATTGCTGTCCTCCTTTAACAGTGGATGAAGTTAATATTGAACGAGTGAAATCTGCTCGTATCCTTGGCCTCACAGTTCAAACCAACATGAAGTGGAATGAACACATACACAACATAGTTAAAAAAGCTAGCAAGAAGCTCTATATGCTAAGGCTGCTAAAAAGGTCCAACGCGTGTATAGACACATTGATTACTGCATATACTACTATAATTAGGCCTGTTCTGGAGTACGCGTGCCAGGTCTGGCATTATAATATCCAACAATATATATGTGAAGATATTCAAAATAATTCAAAAACGTGCAATGAGAATCATCCTTCCATCACAAAAGTATGACGAAGCACTGAGCACGACCAACATCGCGTCGCTGAGAGATCGCCGAGAAAAATTATGCGAACATTTCTTTGAGAAGAATATTGACAATGAAAAACTCAAAGATCTTTTACCACAAACAATTTTATCTGGATATGATCTAAGACCGATATGTAAATATCATAATTATGTTTGTTTTAAGAATTCGTTTTTGCCTCAAAGTATTTTAAAGATAATATGTAATAATCATGTAGTTTTAACTTCTCTTAAATTTATTTACATAATACTGGTGTAAGTCAGTAATTATTAAATCAATTCAACCTCGTACCCAAGGCTTCTGCGCTTATTGCTCGCGGGCAAAGCGGTCGTAACAGAAAACAGCCTTAAGGCGAGATGTGGGCGCAGCGACCGCAAAACATGAGTACACAATATAAGCAAAAATTGCGCCTCATTGTATGATGTAGATACAGTACGTTTCAACTTCGTACCCAGGGCTTCTGCGCTTATTGCTCTTTGAGAGCATGTATCTACATCCTACAATGAGGCGCAATTTTTGCATATATTGTGTACTCATGTTTTGCGGTCTCTGCGCCCACATCTCGCCTTAAGGCTGTTTTCTGTTACGACCGCTTTGCCCGCGCAGGTGTTGCGCGCATACGTACGCCCGCTCAGTCCAATCGCCAATAATTTTCCACTGGCGGAATGCACGGGAAAAACAAAAGCAATATGGCGGCCTTAAGTCGGAGAAGACTTCTTATTAAGTTGGTTATTTTAAGGCGAATATTAAGAAGAGAAAAGTACAAAAAGAGATTCTGGATGAGAGAAATCTACAAAGAAAGGAAATCTGAGTAATCTCATTGGTTTATTCCAACCACGCGTGAGTTCGCCTGGAAAGTTGAAAACATTTCAACTTCAATCGCGTGTTCGCGAGCACCAGAGCGGACGTAAACTTACACAAGAAACCTACTGCGCATGCGCAAACGAGATCGCTTCGCCCGCGCGGGAAAAGCGGCCGTAATGGAAACAGTCTTTACTCTAGAAGTTCCTTAACAATAGATAATGGCTAAATATACCTTACAGACCATTTTTAATTAATATCCTAGGAATATTTAAATATTGGAATGTATAAATAGTTTAAAAACGTTTTGTTTGTTGTTACATGAGTTGTAACGGGCTTGTCGTATGTGCGGAGCTATTTTTGTTCCCGCATCATTGCCTATGCAACGAATTTTTCACCTCATTTTTTATTGTTTTTCTAAAAAGCACTGCTGGAGTGATGAAGAATGACGTTAACAGTTTCGTCATATCTCATCCCATTCTCAAGTTATCATACTTTCTATATTTTGAGTTGTGACGTCACAAGTATGAGTTGAGATAATGGCAATAACAAGAAAGTATGATATCTTGGTGAATATTTAATAAAATTCAATGAAACTTGGTACACTTAGTGGGTGCACTCATATGAATATTTTTAGTAGGTCACGTGGTTGTCATCGCAACACACTAGTCCCCAGTCTCTTCTCTTCCTTTCACAACTTTCCTCCCGTAGACCTCTTGCAGAGGATGTTTACATGTTATAACTGTATAAACTGATCACAATACCTACACGTATTATAGTAATAAGCGAAAATTGTAGAAATTGCTATTTATTTCGTTGAAAATGGATCATATAGAAATTGGAAGACAGGGGACTGGGGACGAGTGTGTTGCCATAACAACCATATAAACAAGCAAAATTGTTGACTTTGTTGCACCCACTAAATGTACCAAGTTTCATTAAATTTTATTAAATACTCACCAAGATATCATACTTTCTTGTTATTGCCATTATCTCAACTCATACTTGTGACGTCACAACTCAAAATATAGAAAGTGCGATAACTTGAGAATGAGATGAGATATGACGAAACTGTAAACGTCATTCTTCATCATTCCAGCAGTACTTTTTAGAAAAACAATAAAAAATGAGGTCAAAATTTCGTTGCATAGGCACTTTAATGAGTTGGCTGCCAGTGTGAGTAGCGAAAAGTACAAACTATAAAAGTCTGTAGATGATGCAACTATCAAAGTTCTTCTTACATTTTTGCAAGAAGTTCAGTAACTATTCAAATAAACCTGACCGGCTATTGGACCCGCGACTTATATTAATTTACAAATTTCCTTATTTATTGTTCTTGTAAAGTACATCAGCGGTATTGCTTCCTCTTCATCCGTTTTCCAAGATTATAGCGACATATAAGTCCAGACTATATTCTTGACTAAGTACAAATAATTTGCACTTAATATGGCATAGCCATGAGATATACATTCGTTTACTCGTGAACAATCGACTTTCTATAAACTGGTAGCCTATGTACAGGCTAAAGCTTCGTCGAGAGTAACGGCTGTACACAGGCTATAAACTGGCTTAGCATTTTAACAAGTTTTCCTAAAGAATAGTGTCTTAGTTCACATTAATTTGGCGTGGCCGCGTTGTCTCTTGATTTCTACAGCACTTGATTCTAAATCGTTTGTCAATAGTCAAGTATATTAACGGCGTAGATGCAGCGCTGACATGTGCTCCAACGAGACAAGCAAAATAAACACAAGAATGGAATGAAATTACATTAGCTGCTGTCAATGCCGCTGAAATACCAAATGGAATCCAACATATAGAATAACAGAAAACCATCATGTATGCTTGCTTATTAAAGCTTACCACCTTTACTAATGATATATTTTTTAATACTTGTTGTGTTTGTTCACGATGCTGTTTCAATTTAGAAGCAACTCCAGCGAGGGATATTCTGATGATGCTGGTACACACTGAAATCCAAATAGTGACTAGCACTATCAAAGAAAAGAAAGATGCAGCTTCGGCAGGAATAGAAGTTTTGTCTATATTATTTTTACAAATGCCAACGCCTTGTTTGTCCGCGATAATAAAACCTGACTGAGCAGCAGGTACAAGTACCAGTGATAGAATCCAACTCGCTGCAGTGATTTTTAGGGACAATGAAAAACTGAACATCCGATTTGCTGGAAATTTGACGATGTTCTCATACAGAATGTAACATAATGCAGCCATTGACGTGAGATTGTTGAAAAGGGAAATAAAACTGACCTGATGATAAAAGAGACAGTATGTTTGAGCGGATGGAATAATATTCCCTCTCCCCAGCATTTCTCCAAGCAAGCTGCCAAACAAAGAAAAAAGATTCGCAACTACGATATTGAACAAATGCAGTTTGTCACTCCTTCTGCCAGATGCCAACTTCATGAACACAATACAAAGTAAGACACAATTAGCGATTAATCCGATGAAAAAGACATTCCAAGCAACAGCAACTGTAACAGTAGCTGCATAACATTCGTAAAGATTTGTTCCATTTCTAGAGGTGGTGTTCTTTGCGTTCGCCATTATTCAGACACTTCTCAGTACAGACTACAGAGTACAGCTTTAGAATTTATAAAGCTTTCATCAGCTTTTTATACCAACTGCTTTTTTCATCAGCTTTTTATATAAACTATTAATACAATAAGATTTCGCACTTATATACTGTAAGATGTGACAGCTGCATCCTTTACTTTTAAAATTACTTTTGGCGCTAAGATTGTCTTCACGACTTAAGACCTGTTTTATACGTCGAATTTCGGTCGCGTCGAATGCAATTCAAACAATATATAATGAAGCTTAATGAGGTTTATCATCTCATTATCTATTGTCTTAATTACATTCGATGCGACCAAAATTTGACGTATAAAACGAGCCTTAGTCTACCGCTAATGAGTTTATCCATTGGTCGAGTGTCGAGGATTAAATGTCGAGGGCGAGGGTAAAAGGTCGAGGGTGAGGGTAAAAAGTCGAGAGTAAAAAAAGTCGAGGGTTAAATGTCGACGGCTAAATGTTGAATATTACATGTCGAGGGTGAAAAAATCACAAAAAACACTATATTAAGGTCAGGTAACCGCTTCGGATAAGGAAGTCACTACGTGTCTTCTCGGCAGTATTGTTATTTGAGCACTTTTTTCTATCTATCTTAAAATTTAACGATAGGTACTCGGAGTTTTAAAGCGCCCTTCTTGAATCTTGGTATGTAATATAGTTTGTGTAGAAAATAAACAATATATAACTGATTTTATTGCTGTCCGCACGGCTACATGCAAATGCGGCATCCGGACGCAATGCCACGCTATGGCATATTACTACATTTTTAAAAAAACGCAAAATACGCCATGTAGCATATATGCGCATATTATATAGTTTGATTATTTGCCATTTGGTTTAAAAGTGCTCATATAACAATACTGCCAAGAAGACACGTATACACGTCGCTATTTCCTTATCCAAAGCGGTTACCTGGCCTTAAATATTGTATTTTTTTGTGAGTTTTTCCACCCTTGGACATGTAATATTCGACATTTAACCCTCGACTTTTTATACCCTCGATATTTTACCCTCGACTTCAAGTTTTACCCTTACCCTCGACCTTTTACCCTCGCCCTCGACTTTTTACCCTCGCCCTCGACATTTAACCCTCGACCAATAGATAAACTCACCGATATAAATCTGGCATACTTAGACCGTTCATTATTTATGGCGGGGGTGGCACCGAAGAGAAATGCTTTTCTTGGTAAACATTTTGTTGACCCAACCATTAAAAAGTCAACTTTTTTTATACCCAACCTCAAATATCGATTAAAAAATAAATACCCATGCACCCCTGCAGGCCCAAAACTTTACAAAAGGATACCATTCAGGTTGTCACACATGCCCATTCCACTCCTGTGACACGAGTTTGATAACAGCTTGTAGCTGCAGTCTAAATTTTCATGTTGTCTGCACATGTACTTTCTTTGGAGACACCATTTGCCTCCTGACAAATCGGAAAATGATCAAGATAGTAACTCTGATTGAGTTACATGTATCTTTATAACTTTATTGGGAATACTAACAATAATGATAAATAGGTGTTTCCCAAAAGGAAAGGTGCAAACGGGTCAGAAAAAGCCCATGCGAGGCACCTCCCTTACAAACTTTATTACCATTTGCATTCAAGCGTTACCCCACGCCGCGAAAACAAGTTGTTTACGAGTTTTGTAGCGAGCGTTTTGATCGGAAAACTTTACGTTTTGATCGGAAAACTTTACGTTTTACGTGCAAAACAATTATGACAGGGGGCGTAACTTTGCTTTGCGTTTTTGAATTCCGAAACACACTCACTTCCGGATTGAGACATTACAGCCAGTACAAACAAACACATGTTCACTGTGAGGGAAAATGGCTTACAAAGTAAATGCATCTGGCCGTTCTTATCGAAACGGGATGGCTCTGTCAGACGATATGCGATCATTGATTATTGATGAAATTGTCAAAGAAGGTGGGGATAGAGTAGCTGGTTATATGCCAGTTACATACACAGAAATTGCTAGGAGATTAAGTGTATCCCGTCAATCAGTTAAAAAAATTTGGCAGCAGTTTTGCGAATCCAACGACATTTCAGTGAAATCTCGCGGAGGATCTCACAATTGCAAACTGACCCCGGACGATCTGGAACTAATTGAAACATTGAAGACTGCCCAGGGTTCCATTTCGCTGAGCGAAATTTGCGAAATTCTGCAAGAAGGCAATGATGGTCAAGACATTGTGTCTATATCTGCAATTTCCCGCGCAATTAAGTCCAATTTATTGTCTGGCAAGAAATACTCTCGCAAGAAAATATCGCACGTTGCACGGCAACGCTTTACTGCGACAAATGTGCTGTACAAACAGCTTTTTATTGATTATCTGAGCTCGAAAGACGCAAGCAAGATTAAATTTTTCGATGAAGCAGGCATTAAAATGCCTGATGTTGGCACTCGTCTTTACGGAAACGCACCAGTCGGTGAAAGATGCATCGAAGTTGTGAAACGACAAGAAACACCCAATACCACATTAAACCTTCTTGTATCGTTAAATGGAGTGGAATACTACAACCTAATAGACGGAGCTAGCAACACAGTGCAGTTTCTAAATTTTTTCGAAGAGGCTTCGAATGCGGTTAATTTTGAAACGAGAAGACCCGCTCTAGAGGTTGGAGATACTATCGTTATGGATAACTGTGGAGTTCATCATTATGAGGGCGGACAGGCTTTGGAAGAGTTCTTGGCCGATATGGGAATCGAATTACTCTACACACCTGCATATTCACCCGAACTAAATCCTGTAGAGTTTTGTTTTAACAAGATAAAAACCCAGTTAAATTTCCGTTTTCGACGTCTATTCCATGCAAATGCTATAAACATGGCTTGCGCTTTGGCCCTTGAGACAATCACAAACGAAGACATGAAACAATTTTATAACTATGCTGCATATTTGTTCGAAGATTAAAGTAAATATTTCAGTACTATTTATATTATTTAATCAAACTCAACGTCGACAAGACTGCAGTATTTGCATATTAAACATTCTAGCCTGGTCAAACATGCAAGAATGAGAGTTTATGAGAGTTGGCAGTCGCGTATTGTTTGTAATATTGTGGGACATTTCAAGTGTTCCAACTATGTCTTAAACTTATGCTGGAAACTGGAAAGCATTAAGAACAGCTAACCAAGATCGCGTGACTGCCAACTCTGATTCGAGTCTCATCCTCGTTTCATCCAGGCTTACAAAATAAACCCCTTGCAACTAAAGTAAATTGTTACATACAATAAACAACAGAATATGAACATCGCTGTAGCTTTTGGCCCGGTTCAAACGTCGAACTTTGTAATATCATGTGCAATCTAATGGGAGTATAAATGTCGATTCAAATACAGTGATATAAAAATTCAACATGCCAATACTGGCAATAGCATTGCATCTGCATGCAAAACTGCAAACGACGAATTTTACAGTATTAGCCTACTGTAATAAAAATAACTTTAATTTCTAGTTTGTAAAGTCCAACGTACGTATCAATCAACATTGAAATTTAGTCGTTATAAATATAATCATATATTGACTGGCTTTGTTCAAACCAACCTCGCAAGCCAGGGTTTTTATCGTGATAAAAAACCTGGCTTGCGAGGTTGTGTTCAAACATCGTCTTGAACTATAGCTTGTCACACAAGATTCGACCATATATAGCCAAAGAAATAATATATATTTTAATTTCTATGGATTAGACACATGATATTAATGAAAACCGGGCCATGTTTAAAATATAATCGTATACAATTTGGCGCGTGGCACGTTTGATATATAACTCATAACGTTTCTAGAATATAAAATCACAGTAAAGTGCTACTATTAAAGTGTATTAAACTGAAAACAGTTATGTCATTTCTAATCTTGGAGATCGCCTGACGCCACGCTTGAGAACTTGATTTTATAGTTGATTAGAATTGTGTTGATTTACTGATAATTTGACATTTGGTTCATGTAAATAGTCGACAATTTATTTTATCATATATATACCTGTATTCTGTAATCTGTATCTTCAATGTATGTTAGCTAAAGAAAGCAACAATTCAGCTGCACTTTGTGTGTCAGACGTCTGTTCGCCGACTTCGCTATCTGGAGGTGGGGCACTTTTTTGTGTATTTGAGCTCATTGACATTGTAGATGTCGAAATGCTTGGGGTAGGGATACCAATAGGGCAATCTGAAGTACTTTTCGGCTTCATCTGTGCATTTGAGCTGATTGTAGATGTCGAAATGCTTGTGGTAGGGTTACAAATAGGGTAATATGATGACTTTTTCGGGATGCATGTTGTTCCTTCATTCATAATCAGATCATTACTCGCATTATTTGCTGGGCTAAACTGCCTTTGACCTACTTGTCCCCTATTACTATTAGTTCGCATACTTTCTCGAATGCAAATGTTAAGCTGTTCCGCTTCCTCAATTTCGTTTTCTGGCAGTAATCGAGAAAAATCTGCTGAGACGGGAGTGTTTGACGGAAAGCAGTCGGTTTCATCTGAACACTGTTCAGTACTATGGGGTTTTTTTGGAAATTCAACGCCGTGTTTTTCAAGAAGATCCTTGCTCGTAAAACTCCGGTGTTTGCGAGGTCGTGCTTGATTAACTGATCGAGTATTTTCTTGGCATTCTTCAAGCGCTTCGTCCAATGTTTCCATCAGTTGATGCCTAGGGGGAATTTTTCCGTTCATATACTTTTTACAATACGATTGTAAAGCATATACGTGTTTTCGTAATAGAGTCCAGTTTTTTATACCTCCTTCGTAGTAGTTATCATTGTTTTCTTCTAAAAGCTGTTGTTCTATGTTATGATTAATAGAGGTTTTAACCTTTTGCGATGCTTTTAGTTTACTGTCTAAATCTCGACGCAACTGCTCTAACTCGGTTGTTAGTTTGTTTATGGAGCATGTGTATTGTTTCCCAACATTTTCTCCAGGATGTAACTTTTCTTGACCACATTCAAAAAGTGATGTGCACGAATCAAACGTGCAATTTCTCGAAGTGTGACCCAATCGCAAGTGACAATTGTGGCACATTTTACCGACATTTCCATATTGTGATTTCAGAACTTCAAGTCGCTCTTGAAATTCAGCTGCCTTATTCTGAACTTTGCGTAAATTGTTTTCTTTCAAACGTATTTGTTCTTCTGTTCTCTTTACATATCTCTGAAATGGAGTC